TGCATTAAAATTAGTTTTAACTCTCCCTGACACTCCAAAAAATAAAAGAGGAAGGCATAATCCAAAAAAGTTTTAAAGAATAAATTTAGTTATGTGAGAATTTACTTGAATATGATGTCATTTTGTCACATTTAGTAATAACCTCTTAGAGATTCATTCATTGGGATCCTGAGGTTTTTCTAATAGGAGCCTCAGTTTGGAGCATACATGGATCAAATGCTCCTACCCAGGAGGCAACGTGTAAAGTCAGTACTTGCTCAGGAATGGATTTAATGATCTGCTTTTCATAAACCAAGCTTCTGAATTCAATGGGTCTCCAAGGAGTGGGCTATAGAGAAAGCCAGTGAGTACAGAGCTCAGCACAAAATCAGGGTAAGTGGGCCCAGACCACCACTCCAGGGGGAAGGACACTGTCAGGTCATCTTTCACTGGTGAGCTGTGAACTGTGCTTCCCACTCCTAGAAGGTATGGGACAGAGGTAAATGGGAGAGGAAGAATGAGAGGTAATGAACAATAGGAGCGAGAGTGTGTCAGGATAGTCAGAAGGAGAGAATAAAATAGGGCTTAACTCAGGCAGGATTTCTTGGAAGTGTGGATTTGGGCATGTTTGGGTGTTTGAAGAGAAAAGGATGTAGGATGTACCTTCTGCTCAGCAGGCCCAAGGAGAGGAAGATGGACAGAATCTTTGCAGGAGAAGTAAGGATGAGAGGCACATGGTGGGGGGCTGCTAAGGAAAGGGACAGGGGCAGTGGAGGCACAATCCACACACCAGAGAGGCAGAGGACACAGTCAAGCCCAGAATAGGGAAAGATAGGGGGCATTATGGGAGGAGAAAGAACAGGAAGACAGAGTGACAGGTAATAAGAAAGGGCAATGATTCTGGAGTTGGGCAAGAGGAGGGGAGGAGGAGAGGGAGGGTGCAGAACCCACCCACAGGAGTAAACACAGAACACAGACCCTGGGCTGCCCACTGCCCTGGAAGGCAAGCCAGGTCAGGTTGACAGGGCCTGCTGGGCTTTCCGGCCACTGCAACAGCAAGGTGTGTTCCATATACCACCACACACACACACACACCATAGGAGGACACTGCTGAGTGGGCTTTCCCCAGAACATCCAGTCAGGAGCAGCCACTTCCCCTGCAGGCCAAGCCAAGTTGCCAGCCAGCCACCGAGCTCACTTGCTGAGGTCTGATCAGCCAGTAAGTCTGGCCTGTCTCACCCAGTCATCCCCCTGCCCCGCACGTGTCTCCAAGCCCGTTCCATAAATTGCATTAGCTGCTCGAGGCCTTCCAGTCTCACCCTCCCTGTGGTCCTTCTCTAACCCTTGCTTCCATGTGCCAGTCAACTCCCCATCCTCCTTCCTGGAAAGGCCCCTATTCTACATTCAACCATTGCTCAAGATCAGCTCATGGGATCCCCCTCTCAGGGATGTCTTCTCAGCGTTCCACATCCAGACGGCCTCTCTTTCTCATGTTTTCCTTGAGAGTTCATCTCTGCCACCCCCAGCACAAACCCCCTTCAGCCGGTCTCCATTTAGGCTTCAGCCTCAAGTCCCCTGGGAGGGTGCAGGGCTCGCACCTCTGGGATGCTAATGCTTCAGTCTGAGGCAGGCAGTTCATGCAAACCTGCCTAAACTTGGTTCACCGCAGCCCTACCACCTGCACGAGGCCCTCTGGACCCTTCATGGCAAAGGAGCAGGACAAGACTGTTAAGGACACTGAGCTAGAATGGGCGCAACTAGGCAGTTTTCAACAAAGCTTGAGAGATACATAGAAGGAGAGCTAATGAAGGGGTTGTTGAAAGGAAGGAAGTGGGTACTCTACCTTGGGGGTGTATCTGAGTGTGGGAGGAAAAGAGTGCACAAAACAAAAGGGACCATGGATGTAAACATATTTAGGAACCTGTATCTAGACAGGGTTCTAAAGCTGGATTTCTGTGGACACAGAAGAGGCTGCCCTGCCTTCATCTGGCCACCCGAGGGCGCTGTTAGAGTAAACAGGCTGCTCCTCTGGGAGGCTTCCCAACAGGCCAGTTTTGGGGTGGCCCTCTTGCTGCATTACCTTGTTTAAGGTGCAGCCAAGGTAATAGGGGAGCCACAAACTCCAGACAGCCATAGGCTGTTCCATATTCAAGCCCAGATGTAGTCTAGGGAAGTTGTCACACACACACGCGCACACACACACACAACTGCACCCCAAACCCTAAAACATCAAGTAGGACAGATTTAATGCAATCTCTATCAAATTACCAACAGCATTCTTCAACGAACTGGAACAAATAGTTCAAAAATTCATATGGAACCGCCAAAGACCCTGAACAGCCAAAGCAATCCTGAGAAGGAAGAATAAAGTGGGGGGGGATCTCGCTCCCCAACTTCAAGCTCTACTACAAAGCCACAGTAATCAAGACAATTTGGTACTGGCACAAGAACAGAGCCACAGACCAGTGGAACAGAATAGAGACTCCAGACATTAACCCAAACACATATGGTCTATTAATATACGATAAAGGAGCGATGGACATGCAATGGGGAAATGACAGCCTCTTCAACAGCTGGTGTTGGCAAAATTGGACAGCTACATGTAAGAGAATAAAACTGGATCACTGTCAAACCCCATACACAAAAGTAAATTCAAACTGAATCAAAGACCTGAATGTAAGTCATGAAACCATAAAACTCTCAGAAAAAAACATAGATAAAAATCTCTTGGACATAAACATGAGCAACTTCTTCATGAACATATCTCCCCAGGCAAGGGAAACAAAAGCAAAAATGAACAAGTGGGACTATATCAAGCTGAAAAGCTTCTGTGTAGCAAAGGACACCATCAATAGAACAAAGAGATATCCTACAGTATGGGAGAATATATTCATAAGTAACAGATTCGATAAAGGGTTGACATCCAAAATATTTAAAGAGCTCACTTACCTCAACAAACAAAAAGCAAATAATCCAATTAAAAAATGGGCAGAGGAGCTGAACAGTTCTCCAAAGAAGAAATTCAGATGACCAACAGACACATGAAAAGATGCTCCACGTCATCAGAGAAATGCAAATTAAAACCACAATGAGATGTCACCTCACACCAGTAAGGATCACCACCATGCAAAAGACAAACAACAACAAATGTTGGCAAGGTTGCGGAGAAAGGGGTACCCTCCTACACTGCTGGTGAGAATGTAAATTAGTTCAACCATTGTGGAAAGCAGTATGGAGGTTCCTCAAAAAGCTCAAAATAGAAATACCATTTGACCCAGGAATCCCACTCCTAGGAATTTACCCTAAGAATGCAGCAGCCCAATTTGAAAAAGACAGATGCACCCCTATGTTTATCACAGCACTATTTACAAGAGCCAAGAAATAGAAGCAACCTAAGTGTCCATCAGTAGATGAATGGATAAAGAAGATGTTGTACATATACACAATGGAATATTATCCAGCCATAAGAAGAAAACAAATCCTACCATTTGCAACAACATGGATGGAGCTAGAGGGTATTATGCTCAGTGAAATAAGCCAGGCAGAGAAAGACAAGTACCACACGATTTCACTCATCTGTGGAGTATAAGAACAAAGGAAAAACTGAAGGAACAAAACAGCAGCAGAATCACCAAACCCAAGAAAGGACTAAAAGTTACCAAAGGGAAAGGGACTGGGAAGAATGGGTGGGAAGGGAGGGAGAAAGTCGGGAAAGAAGAAAGGGGGCCTTACAATTAGCATGTGTAATGTTGGGGGGCGCTCGGGAAGGGCTGTGCAACACAGAGAAGACAAGTAGTGATTTTACAGCATCTTGCTATGCTGATGGACAGTGACTAATGGGGTATGTTGGGGGGATTTGGTGAAGGGGGGAGTCTAGTAAACATAATGTTCCTCATGTAATTGTAAATTAATGATACCAAAATAAATTTTTTTTAAAAAAATTCTTAGTTGGCTTCTAATTGAGGTGGGAATGTTCTCTCTGAACCATTCTATGAGAAGTAGCTGTCTCCTATAGATCCATTCATTCTACATGTACTTTTTTAAGCCCCAACTTTGACCCACTGTGCCAAGTGCCACAAAGAACACATGCAGACCGTGCCATTGTCCTTGAGAGTGTAAAGCACCCGCACCCATGTGTCCCATTACTAATATCGCGGCCAGTACCCCCCCACCTCTAGCTGGCTGGACAGCTCCTCTTAGGAGGGACTCCTCACAGGACTCTGACCCAGGCCCCGCCTGCTCTACACCCAGTGGAGGGGAGAAGCCCTCCCTTTGCACCATCTGCAGGAGCTATTAGCAGCACATTCTGTGCACCTAACTCACAAGAAACTCATCTCACCAACTGTATTTTCTAAAACAGTGGGAGCCCCAGACACAGAAGGCACTTTGAGGAAGAAGCCAAGGCCGTCACCCTGAGCTTAGGTTCAGCCCTGTGAGGCAGGGCTAGGAGTTATAATTAAAACGGTGACATGCGGGTTTTCATCTACCAAACTAGAAATCAGGATTCCACCTCTCAGAATACACCCTCAGGAGGTGATTCAGAGCACAGTCACTGTGACCCAGCAAAAACACGGTGAAATATTTTAAATCGCCTAAATGTCCAATAAGAAAAGTTTGTGTTGAGGCACACTCACCCCAAGGAATAGGGTGTAGAACTTTGCACATGGTGTCTGACAAATATTTGTGGACTAATTAATTTTTAATGTTTACAAAGAATGCTGGTGATGTTTCTTAAAATGGTGTATCACAAGGAATACAGAACTGTAAATATGGTATAAACCTTGTATAGTGTTTATTTTTAAAACACAGGAAGAAAATGCTTAAAATTTACAAAACTAAATTACAATTATTTCTGAGAGCTGCAATTTGGGTAAATAACTGTTAGTCTCTTTGTTACAGTTGTCAAATATTGTCATTATTCAGAAAATAACAAAGCTTTATTTAAAGGTCCTGGTGAGGTGCCATTGCTTGTGTCCCACAAGTATCCAATCCACCCCTGGGTCCCCAACACCCTCTCTCACCTGGGGGCAGTCCTGGCAGGTGGTCTTCCTGCACTCCAGCTTGAACCCAGAGATGACCCCCACCTGGACAGTGCAGTGGCACGTGGTGCACACGTCGATCATCAGGCTCCTTTCGGGCTGGAAGCAGAGGCACCAGGGTCAGCCTCCAGCACCGCGAGACCCTGGCCCTTCCACTCGCCTCAGCGGCCATCTCCCTGCCACCCCTCCCGTCTCCAGCAGCCGGCTCCCTTCCCTGACCCCCACCTCGAGTGCTGCGACGGCCGGAGGAGTGCCTGGGAGGGAGCCGGAGCAGTGGGTGAGGGGACAGACCTAAGCGCGTGCAGTGACATTAGAGCGCTTCTCGGAAGCAGAAATGATCACGTGTCTGGGGTAAGGGCCGGGCGATGGGTGCTGGACAGCGGGCCCTTAGAGCACCCGCATGCCTGGGAAGCCCCGGGGGCAGCGGGAAGCAACGTGGGGATGGGTCTCCCCGGTTCCTTCCATTTCCAGTTCGGAATGGCTGAGCAGCCACCCCTGCCCCCCAGCTCGCCCTGCAGAAGAAGGCGGCCACTCACCGCGATGATGGTGCCATTGAGCACGCAGGCCTCCACGGGCTCTGCCAGAGAGAGAAGGGCAGAGCGCAAGGGTGTGGAACACTCTGGCAGAGACTGGCACACAGGCCCATCCCTGCAGGGTCCTCTCCTCCCGGTCCCGCCCCTCTCCCCACCCCGGCCCAGGCACCGTGGGTCCCACTGCCACTGCGCACGGCAGGCTCACTGCACCAGGCCTGCCAGGAGTGAGAACCTGCAGGCAGCGAGCACACGGTGAGAAGACCCCTGAGGTCCCCGAGGCAACAGCACCTGTCTGAGTGGTTCACACTTAGGGGCTGAGTGGAGGAAGCTTGAGCTTAGAAAAGAATAAATTCTATTCTGGAAATGTCCAGTCCCAAGAGAGAATCATGCAGAGTTCAGAGCAGGTGGTGGAGAGCATTGCCTGTCGTTACTGCTGCCTGTCTGTTGGCAGGGTGAGGGGTAGAAATTTGGAACACATTCCCCAACAGAACAATACTGCAAATGACTGGCAAGATGGCCTCTAGACTCAGAGAGGTCTGGGACCCAGTCCCAGTGGGGCCACCCACTAACTCAGGGAGCAAAGGGAGGTATGTCGGCAGCTGTCCTATAGATGACATGAGGTAAGGGTGTAGAGCCACCACCAAGCACAATGATTTCCAATAAAAGCATTAGGGACAGAGGGAAAAACTTTTTCCCTGCCCATTTCCCAGAGTTGCTAAAAAAGCAAAGAGCTCAGGAGCCCTTAGTGCAAAGAGGCTTGAAGGTGGGGCCCCAGAGGGCAATGCCTTACCACAGTGACAGGCGGGGCAACACTCTGAGGTCTTACAGCTTAGCTGGAAGCCCACGGGGCAGCTGGGGACCACCAGCTGGGGACAGGAGACATTCCGCTGTTCCACAAAGACCTGCTCCTTCACTCGGACACACTCATACACGATGCAGGGGTTTTCAGGGGATGACCAGTAAGAGCCAACCTGTAGTTAGAGCACTGGAATCGGGCAGGGCCTGGGTGGGGTCCCAATGGGTGGGTGCTGGGCTCTCAGGGAGCCTTTGGGGCTCAGAGGGTGAGGCCCATGCCAGGAAGGAGCAGGGCTCACCCCAGGTCCCTCAGTGAGCAAGCCAGAGTCACCCTGACCCAGGTCCTGCTCAGAGCACGTGCTCTCCTACCCATGCAGCCTTCACTTCCTGAGCTGGCACCTCAGGGCGGGGCCTCCTCCCCCTCAGCAGTGCTGTGAGCTGGGCACTCTGCCTATAGAGCAGCAGCAGGGCCAGCACAGAGGAGACGGGGAAGGGAACTCAACCCATTTCCCAGCTCAGGGCTACTTCCCACTCGCAGGGGAAATGTCGAGAGGCTGGGATGCTGGCATCTGAGCCCACAGCCCTGCAGCTGTCCCTGAGGCTTCCAGGCCTGCAGATGGGGGGAGGGGGGCTGACCCCAGGGCTGGCCACACGGGCCAGGAGCACTGCATGGCTCACGTGGAGATCTGCCTGGAGAATGTGTTTCTTCCAGCCCTATCCTGCAGGCCAGCTTCCGGTGCATAAACAGGGGCACTGTGCCTGCCTGCTTCTGGCCCTCTCTCAGTTCCTGCTCACCTCCTTCTCTTTTCAGAAGAGGTGTAGAAAATGCCAGACCTGTGCAGCCAGTCTCTTCACCTCCATTTCTGACACCCATGGGAGGTCTGCCCCAACCCCAGGCCTCTCCCCTCTGGTTATTCACCTGCTGAGCCCAGGCCCCGGGATGCATCAGGAGGACCCTTTCCCACATAGCTGGTCCCTGACATGCTCCCAACAGCAGTGGCAGAACCACTACTGACACCCAAGTCTTGCAGGTAAGAGGCAGATTTGAACTGAAGAAACTCAGGTCCCCTTATATTTGTAACCCTGATGTGGTCAGGGCTGTGTGAGCCCCAGAGGGAGATGAGAGCCTCCAGGGGCTGAAAGGACTGCATACTGAGCTTCACAGGGACCAGCTGTCAGCACCCATCATGACGGAGCAGCCTCTGAGCTGAGCTGGACCCTGAAAGGGAGAGTAAGACTGGCCTCGTTCCAGAATGGATGGGGAGCAGGGACCCAGGGCAGGGAATCCACAGGCAACTTGGGCTGGAAGGAGGAGGTGGAAGCCCTGGTGGAAAAACCCAGGGAGTCATTCCGTTATCACCACCGAGGAGCAGGGCCTGGCGGGGGAGGAGATGGGCAGGTCTGGAGCAAGACAGTCAACCCTTAGCCTTCCTTCCAACACAGTGCATTTGGGTCTTACTGAAAGGACACGGAAGCGCAAGGCCAGCAGGTGCCCCTCCTACTCTTCCAGAGCTCCCTGCGCCCCCAGGGCCTGGGCCCGCCCGCTTCCACCTTATGAATCAGAGTGAAAGAATTGTCATTTCCCCAGCACCTGGACCAAAATTCCCAAGGAGGGAATCCTCTGGGCTTCAGAAAATGACTTGATAAGCATCCAGTGTGGGGCCTGAGGCCGCAACGGAGGCAGAGAAGCTGCTCTGCTCTAAGAGAGCCAAGGTGCTGGGCTTGGGAGCCAGAATGGAAACCGCAGGGCGGCGAGGTGCGGGTCTGCCAGCGTGGCAAGATGCTACAGCCAAGTGGCAGAAATAGCTCGGGGACTTTGGGGGCTTCTCTGGGACATACATTTCTCCCGTGAAAATCAGTTCAAAGGCTGGAGGAGCCTGCCTGGGTCATGGTGGCACAGAGCTGTCTTGTGGAGCTTTGGAGGGGTGGCCAGGCCGTTCCCACACTGAGCACTCGGGGACAGCAGGACCTCAGATTCCCGGGCCAGCAGGAAATAATAAATCCCACAGGAGTTCACAGGCGCCCAGGGAAGGAACTGGGCTTCTCCCAAAATCCACAAATGGGATGTCAGAGTCAAGCTAACTAGTTCCTAAGGGACAAGGCGACCCTAGCTGACGTCTGGTTAGCAGCCGCAGCCAGAGTCAGCAACCTGCTCAAAGCAAAGGGAAGCAGAGGGACTCTCTGGAGTACAGATGGCATCAAGGCCAGTGCTGCCCCCAGAAGGGACACCCAGGCTGGGAAGGCCAGTGCTCCTCCCACCCATCCAGGGCCCAGACCTACGTTCTTCCAGTGAGACTGGAAGTCCCCGCGTGGTGAGCCAGTCACCACCTCACAGGCAGACGGCAGGCACTTCCCACAGCATTCACCTTCATGGAGGATGTAAGTGAAGCCCTGGAAATGTACAGAACAGCACGTGAGGACAGGCCACCCCAAGACACAGATGCTCTCGTTGGGCACCTGCTGTGCACTGGGCCTCAGGGCTTCCAGAGAAGCAGCCAGACTGGGCATCTCCAGCCGTGCCACCCATCGGCCTCAGGACCATGCTGAGGAGAGGTGGGGCAGCACCCGCCATGCGGGCACTGAGCTAGGCCCTGCTCCAGCTGAAGGGCCGCGCCCTGTCCTCCTCCCTCGAAGACCCACATCCAGCCCATGGGAGTGCCGACGACAGGCCAGCAGCCACTCAGCAGCAGCCAGCTGGCCTGACCTTGATTATGGTCAAATCTAGGGCACTTCACTGACTGGGGCAGAACATTCAGGATGCCTGGGAGGTCATCTCGGTTCTAACAGGGCGGATTGCCTCTATGAGATGAATACCTTGGTGCCAAGACCTCACACCCACGCACAGTGCTGAATCTCCCCACAGTGATGTGACATTTGCCTATAGTTTATGGGGCACAGTGAGATGAGAGCAACAGAGACCAACCTTCCCCAGAAAGCTTGCAGGGGGACCAGCCTCCTAGAAGTCTGCCAGCCCATCTTGCCTCTTGGAGGTCCCCCAGTCTGGCCAAAGCATTAAGAACTCGGATTGAAACCCTCCACTGGGAACTCTGAAGCCATGCACAGAGAACAGGCCAAACAATGATGTGTGTGCTTGTCCCAGGAGCCCCAGGAGGGAACCCAGGGCCACACTTCGTCTTGGGGCCCTGTCCTTGGGAGAGAAGCAATACTGTCATTGTTCAGTTTGGGGATGGGGGCTCTGCTCCCCAGGCACTCACAAGCAGGCCAAGAGGGAAGATGCGCACAGCACTGGCTATCAGCCTCGCTGGAGCCTCTCTCTGGAGGCACAAGCACTCCAGGGGTTTGGCTCAACTTCCCACCATCTCCATGGGACCAACTTACGTCCTGACCCACGTCACAGCGATGCCCAGGGAGCTATCCCCCATCTTTTATCAGCTGAGATTCTAGTCATTTACTGTACATCTGTGACATACTTGGTACTTTGGAGGAGCCAACAGATTGAGATGATATGACCTAGACCCCCTCTACTCCAAGGCAGAATATACAAAGTGCCATGAAAGAAGGCAAGAATGAAGGGAGCATGGAAGAGGGTTATTAATCCCTGGGGACCTACAATCAACCTGTGGCCCCTCTAGAAGGCTGGGCGACCTGGATTTATGCAGTCTTCATGTTTTCTGCTGCCTCCAACCACAGGCAAACACATCATCCACACGTGGGGTGACTCCCAGGTCACATGCCTGTTTCCAAAACCCCACCAACTTCTCATGCTCAGGTATTCGTAGCTGTATCACCAAATTTCCAGGCTGCCATCCTAAGATTCCCCACCATGCCTCCAACATCCCCATCTTCCCGCTACACAGCCAGGGCTCATCCCATCTTCCCAGCTCTCCTTTTCTCGTACTCCTCCCAGTCCTATAGTTTATGTAGGTTCAAATATATGTCTCAGACCCTTCTCCTTACTCTCCTCTCCATCCTGTCTTCCCTGACTCCCCACTTAAGAGTGGAATTAAGTAGGTCTAATATCCACCTAAGCTAAAGACAGACGCCACTGAAAAATTAATTCTTAATTTATTTAGCAGCCCAGTCCTTTAAACACAAGGGCCGTAGCCAACGTGGAGGTGGGAGGCATGGAGCACTGGACCCTTCCGTGTCCCTTCACTGGGCCAGACTGGCCCTTGCAGTGCTGGTGTGGCCTGAGAGAAGAGACCCGGGCAAGGAGCCAGGGTACTCCAGGTCTGCTGGCCTCAATCAGGCTGTGCAGCTACGGCCAACGTCAAGCCCTGTGCTAGTCCTCTGCTTTCGGTCTGACAAGTGAGAACAGCCCTGCGTCTTCCTCCTCCTGGAAGAGGATTGTGAGAATGAATAAAATCTACTTCCTCATATTCAGTCCCACAGGACACAGTTCCTAGAGCCAGGACTTACTCTGATTCTGGGCCTAAGGAGGGGGAATCAGGTGGTCATAGGCCTTCACAGAAAAACTCCTGCAGGGTTTATACCAAGGAACAGGAATTTCTCTTGCTGTCAACACGGAAGCAAGCAGGCCACAAGCCCACCTATGAAACCCCATGGGAAGCCCGCAATGCCCTTTGCTGCTCCACATCACATTTCTGGCATGAAGAGTAGTACCCTGGGGAGGGGGCTGGGAAGGCAGGTTTCTGCAGACCGTGACCTCAGGAAGGAAAATAGAGGGTAATGTGCTAATGTTGTTCTATGTGGTTTTTTGTTTCTGTTTTTGTTTTTGTCACAACCTAGACAGCAAATGAATTCCAGTGGGTGAGCCCCAGTGTCTCTGGTGAGACAGGACAAAACTGGTGCTACCATCTGAAAAACGAAGTCTGAGGTTGTCTCAGTCCCTGAAGCTTCCGCCTCAACCCAGCACACCACACAGATACACACCGAAGCCCAGCCTCCCACAGCCCCTCAGCTGTGACTAACCCTCTGCTCACTCGCCTGCCCCTGGGCCCAGCTTCTTTCTGAAACTGCCTCCAGCACCACAGCCTTTAGTCAGCTGGGTTTACAGCACATGACCTGCACCGCCCCTGAAGCTGGCTGGACCACAGCGGGGGACTGGACAGAGGACCCAATCCATGGGCCATGCCAGGCCCACCAATTCTCTCCTTAAGAAGTTAATCTATGGGACACAAAGATGGAATATGTTAGATTGCACAGGGATGATCCCTGAATCTGAAGAGGCACGTTGAGTTGAAGCCAGATTCAATAAAGGCATATGCAGATGAAAGCAAAACTCCTTCCCAGAGGAAGCTGGCCTGCAGGGAGCAGCTGGAGCAGATGGACAGAGAGAAGCCAGGACAGGATGGTGTAGCAAGGGGAGAGCAATGCCCTGTGGCCACAGAGTCACTCAAGTGTCCTGCACTTCTTGTCTGAGAGACTCCCCTGTCTTTTCCATAAACCCCTTTTTACTTTATCTAGTGGATTTTGAGGGGATTCTGTTCTTTGCAATCAAAACTCCCTCCTGAAACACAAACTATACCAGGTGCCAATTTTATAAAAATGACCTCTAGCCAGCACTCTCTTTACTTAATAGCATCACCTCCATGGCCTCTGGGAAGAGATGGAGGCAAACGTCTTCCAAAACTTAGAGCTTGCAAAGGCATGCGGCCTACCGCAGCACCGCCCCCTCCGAGGGCACAGAGCAGCGCCGCTCCTGCTCACTGCCAGCAAAGCAGCCGCAGAGCAGGTGACCTGAACAGACGCTCCGCTTCTGGATTCACACTCAGGCCCCACCGTCCACCATCAAATCATGCACTTTCAAAACAGCATCAGGAGCATCACGTTCACTGCTGTTCTAGGAGCAACCACGAGGCGTATGTACTTGTCTGCCCCAGCTACTCCTGTCTAGCATCATCATCTCCTGATAATCCCACAGCAATGACAATAATGCATTACCAGCAAGCAGAATGTGACCTACAGTATTTCTGCACACAGCTGCTCCCTCTCTCTCTGTATCTGATCAATCTTAAGTGTGCAAGAGTAGAGTGTCCCATGACACCTGGGTGCCTGAGGGGCAGGCAGCACAACAAGAATGAAAAACTGAATTAAGAGAAAGTGATCTGTGTTTTCCACACCTCAAATTATACACATGGTCTGAAAAATCACCCATCTATGTGGAAGCACTATATATATAGGACATTGAAACAGGGAGAGTCTCAGAAAATTGGGAACATACATCTGTTCTAGGGATAGGCTAAGGTGATGACTGGGGAGAGAAGAAATAGGAAAAACTCAAGTTCTCTTTTGTAGGCATTTACTCCACATCTCAGCTCAAACCAATTCCACAGTTCTCTGGACTCAAGACCACACACCAGACATGGCCAAGGACTGAATCCAGAGGGAGGACAGAGCAGCCCTTTCCTCATGCCCAGCCCCATTCACCTCCTTGCCGCTCACCTCTGGCCTTGAACCAGAAGCTGCTAAAGGGGCTTCCTCATCCTTTCCTAGGATGGCCCCATGCAGCGTGCAGCCCCTCTGAGCCCCTTACCTCCCGGCAGCTGTCCTCGCAGGGCTTCTGAGAGCACTGGGCCACGCGCAGGCCCATTACCGCGTCCTCCATGTCTGTGCAGGTGCACACGTCACAGCCCTCCTCCCAGAATTGGCCCACGGGGTAGATGGTGCCTCTGTGGACGCACACCTGCAGACACAAGGCTTCCATGTGTGAACTCATGTGGCTCATTTAAACAAGAAGTGGAAGCATCTTCTGTGTGTTGGAAGCTGTGGTGGTTGCTGAGAACACAGCAATAAATAAAACAAACGAGGGCTCTGCCCACATGCAGGATGCTTATGAAGTGCATTCTGCCCTCTGCCCTCTGCCTTTCCCTGCCCACCGGTCCAACCTGGGAGGGGCCCTGTGGATCCTACATGGCCCACAGGCTCGGCTATAACACACTGGCTCCCCTAACTGCATTTACTCCCTCCCACGTCACACAGAGAGCTGTACCCTAACTCCCACATCCCTAAAGTCCTTGAACTTAGTGCCCATGCACAGATGACCCTCTGTCCCATATGAGTGGATTGACAGTGAGGGGGATTGGGCAGGGGCTACAGAATAGTGTCCCCTTGAGACCTGCCAATGACAAGGAACACAACAAGCAAAGAGTCTGAGGCACGAAGTACAGGGTGTGTTTGAGAGATGAGGGGTCCCTCCTGAAAGCACTACAGGCTATGGAAGGCACATGGAAAATGAGAGGACAAAGGCTGACTGAGGATCAGAACACATACAGCCTGGGATGCATGTGGCACACCATGCTCAGGCTTTGTTTGTAGAAGTGAGGTGCTGAGGAAGTTGCCTGATCAAGAGACTTAATGACAGTTTTGACATGAATCCCAAGTCTGCTCTCCAAAGCTCTGCACTGTCCTCCACCCTTACTCACATAACGGCATACAGATATTTCCAAACCATTATCCTATCCCTGCTCAGCCTTACAGCTTCTGTATAATAAATCAATTGAATGAGATCTTGTGTTCTTCTATCAAGAAGCCTGCTAAAAAATGTCACTCAAATCTCACTTCTAGCAGTCTATCCCAAAAGACAGGCTGGCAAAAATACAAAATGACAGATGCGCAAGGGTGGTAGTTACAGTGTTCTTGGTAATAGCAAAAGACTGGAGCAGGTCAAATGTCCATCAGTAGGGGACTTGCTGAATGAATTAAGGTGGATCTGTGTAATGGAGTACTATGCAGTTGTAAAAAGGAATATCATAGATCTCCATATACTGATACAAAATAATTTCTATTATATATTTTTATGTGAAAAAAGAAAAAAGAAAATATCAAAATATAATTTATAATACATTTTTCTGTAAGAAATGGGAATATTTATAATATAATATATATTTGCAATATATTACATATATAAACTATTATATATTGAAATGTGTATATACGTGTAATATTATGTATTTATATAATAGATATATTACATAATATATATTTTATAATTGCATTTATTAATATAATATATATTATATATGTAATTTGTTAATATTTCCAAAAAGAAAAAAATGGAAAGATATGCCAAAATCTAATGAAAATTGTGAATTGCAGGGGGAGAGAAGGAACAAGAAAAAGGAAAAAGGGATACAGGTGAGACTTCCAGGAATATGTCTTGTTTTATAATCTAGGTTTTAGAATCATTTAGGTGTTTTACATAGCAAAATATTAAATCAAAAACAACCTCTAAAAGTGGAAAAGAAGTTGAAATACCTGATTAACTGGATATCAAGGCAATGGCATAATCACACAAGGGAAATACTTATTTCAAATGACTTGAAAACCCAGAATTTCAGCCATATATCCCTAATGAATTATATTCTTAGGATAAAGAGAACCACAAGGAAATCTTGAACCTCTCCCAATAGTCTTAAATCATGCATAGTAACATCAGCATTATTATTTTTGAGCTGTCAAAAGTTATTGTAAGATAAAGCAAGAAAATAGTTCAGTTAATTACGTTAGGAAACTGAGATTTTTCAACCCAGAAGAGAACTGATACAAGTATAAATCAAAGAAATTCAGTAAAACCCCATAACCAAATTTGAATAAGAAATATCACTAGATGGATGGATGGATGGATGGATGGAGGGATGCATGAATTGATAGCAATAATAAATGAGTGAACTATCAACTAGTCTCTAAATAATCCATGTGGTCATATTGTTTCCTTAGCTAACCTAAAGAATGAACTCTTTATAGGTAGGGACTGTGTCATATACCCAGCCATGCTGAGCACCTAGTGGGCTCTCTGTAAATACTTCCTGAGCTCATTAAGTTACCCTGCAGGCTGAGATGGGACTCTGACTGCTCACCCACCAAGCCGCACAGGAAGGAATGGGATTTCTTTTTCTCGGTGGGGCAGGAAGCAGTGAACTTGGCAAAGAGCCTATGAGGAGCAAATGTTCAGCCACCCCTCCAGCCAGAGCTGAGCAGCCCCCACCTTGTCAGGGAAGCAGGTTGTCGTGGTGCAGCCACAGTCGTTGGTGACAGTCGAGGCCAGGTAGCCCAGTGGGCAGCTCACTGTAGAGTTGACGCAGTTGCAGGCACACTCGTATTGGTCACAGCACTGGGTCTCCCGAAGGACCGGCATGCGGTGCGGAGGGCAGGAGGGCGGGGGTGTCTTCTTGCACTCTTCCTTCCTGCAGGCTGGGGAGCAGCACAGGGTGATGCCTGAGCCCCGTCACACCCACATGGCACTCAGCCCAGGCTTGGAGGTGCTCAGCTGTGATCTAAGGTCCCAGGGAATGCTAGACCCAGAGTATTAAGTCATAAATGCACGTGAGCCCAGGTCAGGAGCTGTGGGGGCATTTGGTGCCCAGTCAGGCCAAAAAGCAGTTAGTCTGCAGGAAAATCAGAACTTATCAACCAGAGGAAGGTGAGGCTAGGACTTCTAGTGGAGGCGATGTGAAGGCTGCCTCGTCCTGCTCGGCCATCTTCCCGAGCACATCTGAAAGGGTAGGGTCCTTCCAGCTGCCAACTCGCCAAGACTGTGGATGGGGAATCTCGGAGACCCACACAGGCACGCCACACACTGCCGGCACGTCTATGTGCTGGGAGCTTGTGTGGTCCCACCCCCACCTCTGCACCCAGGACAATCCCCTACACTGTTAGGTCCTCTGCAAGCCTGTCAAATCCACAATGTTGTTGCTTCAGTGCCACATCCCAGCCCTGGTTCTTTGCCAATTCCCACCTTCCCTCAAATACAACATTGTCCCCCTCACCCTCGAGGTCTTGATCTGGAAACTCAAGTGAGAGTCCAACCCAACAGGACGGGAGCCCTACTTGACTTAGATGGGTCTTCTCAATAGCTGAATATAGGATTCAGTTTCCTGACAAGGCTCAGTTTAGTCCAACCCTATGCTTAAATTACAGTATTTATGGATGAAATACATAAGCATACAGACAGGGAAATCTATAAATTTGGGAGTAAGATTCAGGGCTGAGAACAAACCAAGGGACTTTTTCCTGCCCTCTGGTGTGTGGAGTCTGGGAATGAATGAAAATAGAATCAGAACCTTCCTCACACCCCCAGCTGCCTGTCACACAGCCCAGGAGGGAGGGGGCCTATGACTGTGCCCACAGCCACAGCACCTTCAGCAGCTCGCCAGTAGGAGGGTTCTGCAGAATTCAATCCAGGTGCGACCTTAACCCCTCCTTCCAGACACACCCCAAGCCCAAAGTCAGCTAATTACAATACAAGACGCCTTCCCCAGGCCAGGCCAAGAGAGAGTAGCCCCCCCACACACACCCTCCTCATCCACAGAGGCTTTACCACAGGTGAAGACGGGTTTGCACTCGCCGGGATTGGTCAGCGTCAGCTGGAAACCTCCTTCACAGAAAGGTACCGGGGACTGGTCACAGCTCACCTGGTCACACACTGAAGGCCAGGAAAGAACGTCCACTCAGAGCTCAACAGGGTTACTCTTGAATTACCTGTGAGCGGTGCCCTGCATTCCTAGTCATGCAGACGTTTCCCATTTGGAAAGATGATGATAATAAGATAAAGGGAAAGAGAGAGAGGGATATAGATAAACAATAGATATAGATAGATAGATAGATAGATAGATAGATAGATAGATAGATAGATAGATAGATAGATAGATAGATGACGGATAGAAGATTGATCCATTGATAGATCACAGTCATGTGATAAGCTCATGCTGATTACTCTTGTCAACTGCTAGAATTTCAGATCTCCTCAAGGTCACTGGAAGCTTCTAGGCCTCAATTTTGTCTTCTGCTATGTGGGAAGTCTACCCTTTAGGGTCAATCTAAGGATGTCATGAAATCCAGTGAAGGAAAAATCCCTGGCACATTACAGAAGCTTAATAATGTCCATAAAATGAGGGATTTGAATGGAAGGATCTACCAGTTCTCTCCTGTTAGTATTCTAAGATCTATTTTATACAAATTGTTCTCAAGTCAGATCTCCCTCTGAGGGACCTCTGTTTATCCCCAATAAATTTCATCACGTAAATAGATCCCTCAGGCTAGTTCATTCTTTTTAGACCCTTGTACCGTCCCTTGATCTATTTGCTCTCCCTTGAAGATCTGCATCACTGCCAGTTTTGCAGGCCTGTCTCCATCCGTATGATTGATGGGCACACTGGACAGGCCGGACAGGCTCCCTGTGCAATCCTGTCATGTTAACCACCATCACATCAGCTCTGCACTTGCTCAGGTAAACCATTATGCAGCCCAGCACTTGCTGTGGGGTCTGCAAGCCGATATCAAACTCTTTGACAAGTAACTTACTGCAATCAAGGTTCCCTGTGCAGCCTTCCCTACATCCTTAGATTATTTTATAGAAAACGAAAATGGGTTATTTTGGCATAGCTTTTTCTTCAGTAAATCTCTGTGTATTCCGCACCCCCCACCACTGATTACCTTTCTTCTTTTAATGCTTTCAAACCTCACATTTAATAATTCACTGCAGAATTTTTCTAGAAAGCAAATCCTATTTTCCAAAGGTTGCTCTTCCCATTTTTTTGGAAAATCCAGTCAGCCTCACCCACCCCCTTCCACTCAGCCACCCCTGTCAGCATGCCCACGTCGTTCACCCGGGGCTGAGGCTGGGGTCTGGGCGGGGGAGCGGCACCCAAGGCGGGCCACGTACCACACTCATACTCTGGGCAGCACTGGTCTGCGCTCTGGCGGAGACGGGCCACTTCGCACGGGCCACATGTGGGAGCTGGAGGGGAAGAATGCCGCAAAGCCAGAGAAACAAATAAGGGCACGGCCTGGGGGTGCTTAACACGGTGCAGACTCTCACCCACCGGAAAACAGCAGAGGTGGGAGCAGCTGTGGGACCCCTGATGAGCGCCCAGCACCTCCTGCTGACCCCCTCACATGAACCCTCCCAGAGACTCTGAGTCCGTGGGCCACAGGGACACAGAGGGCAGGGTTAACCTCTGCAGGTGCAGAAAGGGGACCCGAACCCAGCAAGGTGAAGCGGGGCCTGGCACCGAGAAGGACAGGTCAGGTAGAGGAAATCTCCCCAGAGCAGCAAGTGGGGCGGAGCTCACCTCTGGCAGTGGAGCAGGGCTGTGATGTGCAATTGACCGTCCGACCACTGAGGCACATGCAGATCTGGCAGGGCTGGTGGTCCAGGACCCAGGTTTCCAGGAACTGAGGGAAAAAGAGGTTCAGAGAGGGCCCAGGCTGCTCAGGGCACCCAGCCCTGGAGTGGCAGGAAGTGAGCCCTCCCCCACCCCTAGCTGGGTCTCCCCTCGGCCAGGGCCAAGGCCTGCACCACCCCTCTGTTGGAAAGGTCGGGGGAAGCTCTGAGAAGCACTGGGGTGCCCAGAAAGGCCTGCGCATACTGCTTAGTGAACCCAGGGACGACAGACTACGGATTCTGGAAAACTTGGGGGCTTCCAATGCAGTCTTCTCTGTTGGTGGCACTGAAACTAAGCAGAACAAGAGAAACAGGATCCCTGTAGGGTGCCACTGGTGGCTTCTCAAGCCAAAGGAGAAGCTGGGTGGCCTGAGGAAAGGCTCCATTTAGTTCTGGAACTGGTTTAAGACAGTGTGGCAAGAAGAGTCAAGACAGAACAGCACAGTGTCACGTCATGGTGCGGGCAGTGATTTTAGGGACCAGAGAGCAGTTCCCCAGATAAGGGCTCACTGGGTTGGTACAGCGACTTCCTCAGAGGTGGGCCCAGCCCTACAGCATAAGGGCCTTGAGGTCAGGAAGCCCAAAACTCCACTGTCCACTTTGCAGCTCTGTGCCTCAGTTTCCCTGCTGAAGGGAGGGCACTCAAGCCCACCTCGTGGGATTGCTGTAAGCACTGGGAGACCAATAGGCACAGGTAGGGACTGCAGGGCTAGGGCAAAAAAATCCCTCTAGACTCAGCCACCAAGTTGAAATTAAATTCATGTTAAATCACCCCTAAGGAAACAGATTCTTATCCAGTAGTCCACAGGCCTCTGAAATTCCCAGGTCAGGAAGGCCTTACTTACTCCATCTGCTTCCATGCTCAGCAACCAGCCCTTTGGGAAGAAGGAAGTTCAAGTTCTCCGGGCAAATCACCTCCCCCACCCACACATCTTGCTCCGTGACCCTCTAATCTGTCCCTTGGCACCTCCCACTTGCTCCATAAATAATAATGGCCAACATTTGAAGAACAGCAGTTATGTGCCACTGGTTTAAAGGTTTGTACTATAAATTACTCATTCAGTCCTCACTGCAACCCTATGGCAAGGATGTTTTTATTATTATCCCCACTTGTCAGATGAGAAAATTAAGGCACTTCTTTAGAGCTAGGATTTGAACCCAGAATCCACCTTCTTAACACTGTGCTCTGTTGTCTCCTAGTAAAAGCCAGCATTAAATAGGTTCATGGTATTTACATTTATTCACATTTTGCTCCTTAAAATAACCTTATCAGATAAGTACTGTTATTGCCTACATTTACAATCAATGGCAGCGAGGCACAGAAAGGAACCTGGCGGGGCGGTACAGCCAGGATTCGAACCTGGCCTCCTGGCCCCAAACATCGCACTCTCTTTGTACTCCAAATGCCTCTCATCAGTAACCACAGTGCCTGTGGCAGCCAGCTTACACGGCTAGGGTTCGAGGGGCTACCATCACTGAACACACTGCCCCAGCCTTCAGGTGGCTAACAGCCAAACTGAGGAAATAAGACGTATCCATGACAAAGTTGATAGAGATCAATAAATTGTGATACATCCACACCACGGAATACTATCCAGCCCTAAAAACAAACTATGGAAACACACAACAGGGGTGATCTCAGAAGTGTTATTCTGAGTGCAAGAAGACAGACAAAAAAGGAATACACATTGCATGACTCCCATTTATATAAAATACAGAAAATGTAAACTAATCTATAGTGACAGAGAGCAGACCAGGGGCCAGGGATGGGAGATGTGGTTGGGGGATGTATTAAGGGCATAAGAAAACTTTGGGAGCGACGGAAATGTTCGTTATCTTGATGGTGATGACGGTTTTGCAGACAATTGTACATGTCAAAACTCATCAAACTGCAGATTTTAAACAGGCACTGTTGATGACATCAACTATAGCTCAATAAAACTGTTACTTAAAATGAAATAAAGGAGAGCCACAGGAGCAGAAAGGAAGAGTCCGCTATGACTGGGGGCTCCAGAGAGGCCTCACGAAGGCCACCTGAGAAGGACCTGGTCAGAGAGGAGAGGAGAAGGTTCCAGGCAGGCAGCAGAGGCAAGGAGGTCCTGAAGGCCAGCGGACAATCCCAGCAGCCTTCCCTGTCCCCCTCAGGAGGCTGTGCTGACTTGGCAGGCGCGGTGCAGCCTTCAAGCTCTGTAAGCAGGGCCGTGCCTCAGAGAGGAGTGTTCCATAGGGTGACCTGGGGACAGCGAGCAGGATGGAGAGGGAGGGTCCGAGAAAGGAGGCCGAGAGAAAGGCCACCGTGGCCCCTAGTCTGCTGTCCCTGCGGAGGCAGGAAGGGGTGGCCAGAGGTGGGCAGATCCCTTTCCCCAGCCTCTGTCCACACGGCCTCTCCAGCTCACCTCCGCTGCTCATGAGGATGCCAAGAAAATGGCACATCAAAGGATTGCTATTTGGACTTTTAAATGGCAAAAGCAATGAGGTGAGAAAGAGAGGGTCATATTTTTACATGTTTTGGGATTGTTTTCCCCTCTTTCTAAATGTGGATTTCAGATACCTAAATTCAGAATAAATAGTACAACTGTCCAACCATCCTGAGAGTGGGCAACACCACAAGATGACCAGGACCACAACCCTCTTCCTCCAGGCATTTTCATTGTGCCAGGAAGCTTTAGAGAGGCGTACCTGCGGCAAGGGACAGACTCGGGGGCCCACGGAGAAGCCCTTTGCCGCTGAAGCCAAGCTCAGCAACGGCCTGACGTGCCGGGCTGTGCGGCAAACAGGCCAGCAGGTGGCGCTCCTGCATCAGAACAGGCGAGCTCCGGCTCCAGAGCTGGGCATTGACTACTAACGGGACAAGGCAGCAGGTGTGACGGCTAGCTGGCGTTAAAAGGTTAAACAGAGAAGATAAAGGGACGCCTACGGAGATACGGCGCGGCGCGGTAAAATGGAAGTCTTCAAAGCCCGAGATCAGAGAAGGGACACAGAGGTCATCAGGCATTCCCCACCGCAGCTGAGGTTTGAGGGAAGACGCAAGTGAGACACAAGCGCAAGCCGGAGGCTCCAGGCGCTGCCTTCTGGGTGGTGCAGGCACCCCCGCCGGGCACGGCGCCCCCACCCTCGCCCCCAGCTCCGAGGAGGGGCCGCCTGTGCTGGGCTCTGGATTCCGGCTCTGGATTCCTTCTGAGCCGGCGACAAAGGCTCACGTCTTCAGAGAGCATTTTGTAAAATAAACAAGAGCTATGGAAACTGGTAAATATTTTGCCTTTCTGAAGCTACCACAAGAGATTCATACCCTGGGTTATTTCCCTGAAGAAAAGGTTTCTAGGCTTTATTTCTTCAGCTTAAAAAAATTTCATTTAATGGAAATGTTCTTCATATTAGATTTTTTACAGTTTCTCTGCTTTGAAAGTGAAAGCTGAAATTGCAGGTGGCCAGGTAAGATATTTGTTTCATCCATTTAAACTAGGCTTTCTGAAATACTAAAAACTGGCAGTGTTCCCTTCATAAGTTTTTATTAACCAATTTTATGTCGCTGTAAGAACTCAGATGCATTTCAATTCAAATGAAATGATTCGTTTCCTGGCTTACAATGGTATAGTCACTGGAATTATTGTTTTCCTCATTCTCCAGGTTGGTTAGCTAGCTTTACCATGAGATCTTCTGGTTCTGATTAAATAGTATTGAGTCACCCACCAGGTCCCCTTTATGATAAAAGTCCCCTGTGGTGATGATGGGGATGTTAGGACCTGGGTGCAGCCCCTGACCACAGAGCGTACTCTTTTGCTAGAAGCCAAATCTGCTCCCCTCTTCCATGCTCTGTAGTATCATGGCCAAGGATGAAAGACAGGCCACTGCACACACTGACGTGTGCATAGACACGTACTGCCCAGATCCTACAAATATACAGGTTGTCAACTTTGAAGAGGTATAACTGCCATCTTGGCCAAGATGGAGGAGTTTGGTAAATATCTCTTTAAAATGCACTCAGTAACTCCTAAAGGGCTGAAAGAATTGAAGACTCAGTGACTCTAAAACATATCAGCCCAAAAACGATCCAGCAAAAGGGCACTTTTATTTATCAGAAAGAACAAGCGCTTTGGAATCAGACAGACCTTCAAATGCTGAGTCTGACCCCCAACTCCATCACTTATAAACCCTGTCTGTGGGCAAGGTGCTAAGCTCTCTGAGGCTTGGTTTCTCTGAGAGATTGTGAGTATTTATGAGATGATGTAACATACTGCCAGGTGTTCTGTGGAACTCTAGGCCAAGGGGATGCTACACACACATATACACTCATACACACATATACACACCCACACATTCACTCACTCCACCATACATACAAGTTCCACAGTCACATAAGTTTGAAAAGCAAAACCCTCTTAAATACTTGCAATGTACATTAGTACATTAAAAGCGCTAAAGAATCCTGCAATAAAGAAACCTATTTAACTTGTTTAGCTAGTACTTGTTTAAACCCTCTTGGCCCTAGGTAACTGTTAATACCGTGCAAAACACACCTTTGAAAAAAAACATTGAAATAATGAACATATAGTTCTTAGTACAATGCAAGGTACATAATACATCTTAATAATGGTAGACATTACCATCTAAAATACTCTTTCCCATCACCTCCTGGATTCCTATAGCATTTCACTTCATGCATATAATGATAAAAACAGTAGTAATAGTAGTAACCTGTGGTTAACACTTGGGTGTTGGATCACACAGCTAATACATGACAGACCTGGGATTTGAACCAAGATGTGTCCAACTCCAAAACCATTACGCCATCCTGCTTCCCTATCCTCACTGGTCCCCTGCTGCCAAAGGTGGAAGGGGCCAGTCACCAGAGAACACTCCACCCAACAGACCCCAGGGGAGAAGCAGCCCCATGGCAGGTGACAGGCCAGGGCTCCTACCTGGCGCCGGACTCCATCCTCACTGACGCACTGGGTGCAGGTCTCCTCAGGGACACAGCTGCCTCCCAGTAGGACTTGGTGCGGGGGACAGAAGCAGCCTTCCAAGGGGTGGTCCCCACAGGAGCTCATGTTGCCCTCACAGTGCCGGGGGCAGCCGTGCTCACAGTGGCTGTACACCAGGGGTGGTGGGCAGGACATTGCTGCAGACAGAGAATGAGCTTCCTCTCAATGGCCCCACCGGAGGGTTTCAAGGTGGCTGATCATCTGACAAACGTGCTGAGGCAGAAATGACTGGTTTCCACCCACTTTCATTCTATCTTCCATAGAAATAGACCATGAAGCTGGGCACATGACCACCCAGAATAAAGACTACATGTCCCAGCTTCCTTAGCAACTACAAGTTCTGCCCAGTGAACTGCAGGAGCAGGTGCAGATTCACAGCAGTTCCCAGGAATCATTTTAAAAAGACAGCTGTGTTCCCTCCTTCCCCTATCCTGCCTTTTGGAAACTGGTTATAAGAACTAGAGCTCCAACTTAAACCATAAGGAAAAGCATACCCAAGTGAGGACGGGGCAAAAAACTTGAATCCAGTTCAAAACTCAGAAACAGCTGGAGCCACTTCCCCATTACTTGCAGCCAAATTGAATCCTAACCGCTATGTCAACCTTATATCCTTAGGAAGTTTTATGGTTCTTTCTTTTGAATACTGATATAGTTAATGCTTTTTTAAAATTAAGTTAGGAATCCACAGCTATGAAGAGTTAGTTGCCTTTGGAGAGAAGCCACGAGGTGATTCCCTTCCCCCTCTTCCAGCCCTTCTCAACCCCTTCCTCTCATTCTCACAGTGCCAGGCCAGGCGACAGAGAAGGTTTACAAGGATTTAGAGCACCAAGGTTTTTCCTATAAATGCACAATAAGCCAGCAGGTAGACAAATTAGTAAACAGGGAAGGTGCTGTCAGTAACCCCGAAACAATCACTTGCCCCTTGATGTGCAGGCAGATTGAAAGGACCTACAGGCAATACCATCTACATGGACACAGAAAATCAGAGCTCAAAGGAGTCTAAGGATTGCCGAGTCTGACCATCCTGTTCTAAGATGCAGTGACCGAGGTCCAGAAGCACTGAGAGAGCAGCCGATCACCCGCTGAGCTAGTGCTGGGGTGCCCAAGTCCCCCAGCCCCTCGTTAGAGCTGTGACAGCTCTGAGACTCCAAGATGGTTCATTCCCCTCAAAAAAAAGTCAGGAATTATATTCAACAACTGAGGATGTTGAAGTTCACTGCATTCTTCACCCCAGTACCCCTTGAGGCAAGAGCCACATCTGATTCATTTTGGTATCCCCTACATGCCAACTCCAAGTAGAGAAGCTGACTTCGGGGAGATAGCTACACTAGCAATCCTGTGGCGTTTGTGATTAAGAAGTTTCCTGATATTCAAATGGCAAATTCCCACCACACTTCAACATCCTGCTCAAGCACGCCCACTCTGGGAGCCTTTGCTAAAGCTTGGTGGGACTTCAAGTTCACTGTGACATCACTCTGCACTTTGCTGGTACCTATGTATGTCTGACATTAAAATCGCATTTGTCTAAACTCTAGAAATACTAATAGAAAGGCTCATGCTTCCATTTACATAGAAATTCTACATTCTAATTATTTATAGATCTACCATCTTATTTGATCCTAAATGAAATCTTATGTGATAGAAAACACAGGGATTTTGATCTTCAAATAAAGAACTGGAGGCCCAGAGAGATTGAGCAAGCCCTCACCTCAAGTTGGCCCTCACAACTTGTAGGGGTGCATATGTACGTAGGAGACTCACCGCAGAAGTCAGCTGTCCTCCAATCCACGCAGACCCCGTTGGTCCTGCAGAGGTGGGCATAAGACGCAATCACCTCACACACTTGCTCCCTGTGGCAACTGTCCTGCTGGCAGATGTTGTAAAACGTGGCTGGAGCAAGAACCCTGTGGCACTCAGCAAACAGTGCCGAGAGGAGGACCTGGCAGTCGGAGCTGCTGGAGACAGGACAGTGCTCCTCAGGCAGAGACTGGCATGTCTGCCCCGGCTGCTGCACGGTCCAGTCTTGGACGAGTGCCTTCCAGTCTGTGGTGACCGTGCCATCCCTCAGCATGAAGTCATTGGCCCCGTTCTCATCACAGATCCCTAGAGAAGCGACGAAAGACAAGGCTGGTAGCCCTTGGGGCGGACACATTAATGCTGGAGACCTGGCCATTCTCCATCCCCACCAGTGTCTGAACCTTGCTACTAGACGCAGGAACATAAGCACCAGAAATCCTGAGGGAATCCAAAGGCAGGTTTATTACTATAAAAGGGGAGAGTCAAGAAGGTGTTCTTACCACAGAGACCATACATCTTTGCAGCAAAGGTCTTAGGGCTCAGCTGCAGCTGGAACTCATTGTTTTGGGGAGTGAATGTCAAGATGTGGCCAAGATGGTTGAATCTAAGCTCATGCATGATGGCGCCGTAGATACTGACTTCCATGTCCCCACCCAAGTAAGGGGCAGACACCAGTCTCCCATTCACTGCCACCTGCCCAAAGAAGAAAATGATTCATCTATAGCCAGGACAATAAGGAATCTGAGAAGTTCAGGGTTAGCTTCTTCCTGAAGTTACAGACAGTGCCCACACAAGTTATCTACAAACCCTGACATTTGTGAGCAGCTCTTCTAAAATAAAGGGGCTTTGTAGAGCTTCCCAGGAGAGCAGACTATTATAATATTGCACAGACGGCCATGCCCCTGGAACCTGAAAGCCCAAGGGTCACAGTGAACCTTGCGTCTGTGTCACTCAACAGGGGAGGACAACCCCTCCAAGATGGGCTGAGAAAAGTGCCATTTTCCCAACTCACCAGGTCCAGGCGTGTCTAAGAGGACTATGTGAAGTCTTTTTTTTTTTATTTTTTTGGTCACTAGCTCTTTGGAGGCCCCAACTTATATCATCTCAAACATATTAAGATATACTCACATTCCATGGTGAATATAATTTTTGCTGCAAAATTTTGGGAAGGCTTTTGGTTTTAAATTTGGGGGCTGCGGTTTTTCAACAATTACTGAGCATATTCAGGAGTTCTTGCAAAATGAGAAGAGCTAACCTACAAGTTGCTTTCACAGAAGGCAATATTTATGGTTTCCAAATGAACAAGTGAAGAAGTTGGCACAATGGAAACTTTTGTAAGCATTTAATCAAACATTTGTTTTTATCAGCTTTGCAGTTTTCTTTTTGAATTTTGGAGCCATGCATTTTGTTTAGGCCTTAAGTCTTTTCCAAGGGCCTAACTTAGGCCCTAAATAATTTCCTTTGAAGAGCTCCTAGACCCTACCTGCTGGGTTCATACTGCTGGGTGAACAACACTGATGTCAACCCCAATTTTCTACCAGCAGCAGAAACTGGCACAAAATTCACAGTTAAGTTCTTCCAAAAATGGATCCTTTCTTCCAGAACTGGGCCCAGAACAACATGAAATCACACCACAAGGGAACTGACAGTCAGCCCCTCTTAAGAAGGTAGGGCCCGACTAGTTAGGCAGAAGGCTGAGTCCCTAATTGCCAGTCAAACCAGCTAAAACTAACTGCCAGCAGAGGCTTCCCCAAGCTTCAGCTGCTCCTTGCTAGGGGGCCCACGGCAGCACCTCTCACCTCCATGTCACTGTGGAGCTCAACTGAAAGGCCATTATGCTTCACCTCGATGGACTTTATGCAGGCCTGCCTCGCCCCAGGGATGCAGGCACCATTATGGAGAATCACCTCCAGGTCCTGCTCTTTGTTTTGAAATAAGACGTATGAACAGCTGCCAGTCAGCTTGAAATCCTGCCCATCGAAGGTCACAATGTGCCGGGTAGAGCTGCCCATGCATACACCTGGACAGGGGAGAGCAAAGGAGGGTGTGACATTATCCAAACCCCCATACATGCAGAGAGGTGGGTATTGCTAAGTCACACACAGACACAAGAATTGAAACCTGAACGGGGCCTTTGAGGTCAAATGGTCTTAATTTTCTCCATTTTACAGGTTAGGAAATCGATTCTGAGAAGTAGAGTAACTTAGGTAAGTAAAACTTGGCCATTTAATATTTTCCTCAAGAAGGTTTAGAAGGACAAATATTTCATAAAAACTTGGCTACAGAATCATACTTGCAAAAGAACATAACATGCAAATGAATGATCTTCTCGAAAGCAGTACAAAATATCACCTAGGAGACAAAGCTAAGTTCCAGGGGTGTTACAACTTGTTGAAATCATGAGGAGCTAAGCAAATCATGAGCTCATGAGCTCATTGTAAAGAAAGTTCACCTAAAGATACATGTTTCCTTTCAGCTGCCAAGTGACTAATAATGGTCAAGTGGCCATGTTGACTTGATCTGGTAAGAGATCACCCAAGAGAAATATTTCCAAAGCCAAAACAAATGGTTAGATCTCAGCCCTCCCTCTTTGCCACTCCTTCATTCACATCATCAGCAAATTCCCAAGATTCCCATGCAAACACCCTTTGGGAATACTAATCATCTTGCAGCTACAAAAACTGATTCAGTGAATATCCCCCCACAGAAGACACCACAGCCATACATGATTTGAAAGCTAATCTTGGACCTAAATGATGTTGGAGGTGAGTATTCCAGACAAACCACAACCACATCTACAGTGGTGGGTAAATACAGTGGGTAAATTTTGGTAAATACCAAAAAAAAATTGGTTCAGGCACAGATCATCAATGCATGCTAAACTTAGTGGGGGAAAGTGTATTTCCATACCTTCAAAATATCTCTGCACATGCTAATTACTAAATGCATGGAGAAAACTAGTAACTCTGCAGTGGAGAAGCCTGGTTAACACCACCAAAACTAAGTGACCAAACTGAACATCACCAAAAATGGGACAAATTGATAGCATGTACCTCCTTCTGATACATCACAAAAGATACAATGTATCTTCTGGGATACACCTGACAAAATGTGTGACCTGAATTTAACCCAAGCTGAGGGACAGTCTGCAAAATTACTAGCCAGGATTCTTCATAACATCAAGGTCATAAAAATCCAAGAAATGCAAGGAATTGTTGCCTATAGCAAGAGACATAACTAAATGTAATGTGGCATCCCAGGCTGAATCCTAGACCTGAACAGAGACATTAGTGGGACAACTGGCAAAAATTGAACTGGATAAAGTGTTTTATAGATGCAAATTTCCTTATTTGGATCATTATACTGTGATTATATGAGATATTGCAATCTGGCAAAAGTACACAAGAATTCTTTGTACTATTTGTGCAACTTTTTTTATAAGTCTGAAGTTACTCATAATGAGAAGTTTAAAGACATTTTCAAAAAATAGCCAAAATCTAGTGCTATCACTCCTGAAGCCCTTCACTCATTTTAAGAGTATAAAGGGTCAAGAGGAGCACTGATAGATTGCATTGGAAAAGAGGTTCATTTGCACGGACCTGTTACTGTGTTGTGAGTCTCACATCCCCATGTGCCCTACACCAGGGACAAACGGGACACCCAAGCCTAGAGAGCAGGACTTTCAGGAGGCCACTCCCAGAGATGGCTTTGTATTCCGTGAAGTTATGGGGGACACTGGACCAGAGCCTGACACTACCTGAGGAATCTAAAAGAGAGAAGGCACTGCTATTGGCCAGAGGCAGCTAGGCAGCAAGATGGAGACTTGCTGTTTAAGAGAGTAGGTGTGCTCCACTCCAGTGGTGTGGCAAGGTGCCCGAGTCCTGGGACCAGATATTGGACCTACAGAAGGAATAATGACCTGGGATTGTTCTAAAAGTGATCCTATCTAAGAGCACCTCTGCTATAGCATCAGGAGGACCCCTGAGGAGAGAGAGCCCATGAGGGGTCGGCTGCAAAAACCCAGATGCACAGCAGGAGGAAGCAGCGGGTCATCAAAGGAGATAGGGACTTACGGACCCCAAGATGGAGTGTCAGAGGAACAACAAGGGGCCTCCTGAGAAATCCTCAAGAGTGCTGGCAAGGAAAAGCGACCACCCCAATCACCTGCCAGGCCAGAGAACAGAGCCCTCCCAGAGAAGCACTTCCAGCCCCCGTTCTGTGCCCCCAAGCCAGGAGAGAAACCGACCAGCCGCTTCTCCAGAAGGAGGAGCCCAAACTGGGATTAGTGAAGTGTTTTAACTGTGACTCAGATTCAACGTCTTGATTATTAGACATGAGCGGGCATCTCATTACCAAATTGAGAATTTGTTTTACAACTTAAAGAAACCACAGAACTCTTTATGAATAAGCAGAAATGACATGAAGTCTGGCAGCCTTGCCGTCCAGTCCAGGGAGACCATTTATCCCACTAAATAAATCCTAAAGGGAGACTAAGATATAAAACACAGTTTTGCTTTCATCCCACAGGCTGTGTCTATCCAACGTAACAGTCACAATCTATCTACTGCCACTTAGAAATCATCACCATCAGCCACTTCTCGCAAGCACAAGATAGATGGCCAACCGTCCTCCATGGAAGGACGCTCCCCACAGGTTTGCATGAGACAGAGCTGAATATGGCCTCCTCTTAAACCAGGCCACTGAAAGACCCACACCACCACCCCCAGCTCCCATGCAGCTGTAGGTGAGATGGGAGCATCTTCTGGGGACGTCTGCTCACCGCTGTGCCTCCACTGCACGGATTCCTAAAGGGTGACTTGCCAACTGCCAAGCTGAGCCCTGACCTCAGAAAATTACTTCTTCCTTCTGGTTATGCTTAATCTGGGGGGTGTCTTCTGAAGACACAGGAAGAGAACCAAATGAGAACACCCCCAGAGGACATGAAATGGGGACATCGGTGAAGGTAGTCTGTGCATGTGGTGCAGAGGGAGTGGGTGACTCTGGGTTAGTCAGCCTCTGGTCCGCCCTTCTGCCCAGCCCAGCTGAGAGCACCGCCCTTTCAATACGTTCCCGGCTGGTGACGCAAAGGACTCACAGGGGCAGGTCCAGCGGCAGCCGCAGGTCTCTTCCACCTTGATAGGGGACTGGCTGTTGGGGCATGAAGGCTTCAGGCTCCGGTCGCAGTTGACTCGATGACTCTCCAGCAAGGTCTGGCCATCTTGCAGGCATGTCACTGTGTGGCACTGATCTGGCAAGGTCCAGACATCCCCAGGCTGCCAAAGAAAGAACCTTTAATTCAGGAGGGGAATAGGATGAGGCACTATCTGCAGTCTAAGGCCATGTACAGTCACCTGACCCCTCTGAGTACATGGACACTAGGACTTGGACATAGGCCTCAATGGCCAGGAGACAAGAGGCAGGACAAGATTTACAGGCGGACCTCTGCCCCCAAAAAAACAGGATATAATGGTAAGGAGGGCCAGACCAAGACCAAAAGAGGGAGAGGTAGCCGGGGAAACAAGACCCCCAAGTACACATTTCTGATCTTTCTTTCAAAGTCAACAGAAAGAACTTACCATCTTCTCATTCCCATCCTCATCTATGCAAACTCTAACGAACCCTGAAATAAGACACAAATAAGATCTGAGTTCCCATCCATCACCCAGAAATTCTAATCCATTATCTGCTCAGGCCACAGGGACTAGTCCTGGAAGTGGACATAACTGAAAGGATTTGAGTGGTTTCAACAGTGAAGATGAAGAGACACCAGACTAACAGGTGGCTGCCCCACAGTGGGGCCGGCATGCTTGGCAGTTGTTAATAACTCTGATGTAAACCAATGGTGATAATATGGCAATAACTACAGTTCATGAAGCCTTTTCCTCTCTTATATGTAGCTCAGCACCTACTTATGGGGTGGGAGGAGGACATGGGGGAAGACCCCAGAAACGTGAAAGGGATCTTGAAGATTTCTACCAGGAGAGCCACCATCCAGCAGGAAAGGGCAATAACTATAGGTTTTAACTCACAGCTTAGGAAAAAATATAAAACCTGGTTTTAAAAAATTGTATCTGGTTAAAAAAAGTTTCTAACCTTAAGTCCACTTAAACTATGGTATTTTGATGTGAGATTCTATGTTACTGTATTTCTAAGCCCTTTACACCCATGCTGAGGGTGAGTTCAGGGTGGGAGGAAGACCATAACGTGCCAGGTGTTGGGGTTCCTGCTTCTGTCTTCCACTTCTTTGTCCTAGACCCCGGATCCCTCTGCACAAGTCAGTATGGGCTTCTCTGCTAAGGTTGGCATGGACGGTGAGGCTGGGCAAGGGCTACACACAGAGAACCCTCTGGTAGCCCCGTGAAGGTTTGCAGGACAAACTTTCCTTATGCAGAAACTTAAATGTCCTAGACTATATAACAATCTTCATTCAAGGCTGAATCTTGTCTCTAGAACAAGATCTCTAGGTTTCATTGTTTTGTTTTTGCTTCTGAGGGCTGTTAAGAAAGACATCACAAACCCACCAGAGCACAGCTTGTGGAGGAAGGAATTTCCCAGGGTGACCATGGTGGGAAGATCTTCGATTCGCTGGAGCTTCATCACATTGGAGCTGGCCGCTGGGCCCGCCAAGGTCCTCAGCTGGGCCTCATCATACCGGTCCCCAATTCCAATGGGGAACACCATCACTCCTAGAGTTAGCAGAGGAACAAGAAAGAGTCTGTGTCAACCCACTTCGGCCAGATGGGCTCATAACACACTGACCTGAAGCTGTACCCATCTGTCTGGAGCCTTGTGCTTTCCAGGCTGGTCACATACCCATCTTGTGAGGCAGATACGCAGTCAGCAAATGTTAATGAGCTCCTACTCTGTGTCAGGCACTCTTCTAAGCTTTGGGGGTACAGTGAACCAAGCAGATGAAGTCCTCATCCTTGTGAGCAGATAAGAAGCAAACTTCTGGTATTTCAGACATGGATGCATGCTTAGGGAAAACCAAAACAGGATACAGAGGGTGGGTACAACGGGGTAGCGGCAGAAGTGACTGCTTCATACGAGGTGGTTGCAGACGTACTGAGTGAACACAGGACAGTGAACAGAGACCTGAAGTAAGGAGGGGAAGAGCCAAGAGCGTATCCCAAGCAGAGAGAAGAGCAAGGACACAGGCCCCCAAGCGGAAGTGTAGGTGCACTCCAGGGTGACTGAAGCAGAGCAAACAGGCCGTGCAGAGCTTCACCGCCTGCATGAGGATGTGACCTGCTCTCTGAATGAGACAGGATGCCAGCCAACACTTTGGAGCAGAGAAGGGACATGAGCTGAGCTCAGTTTGAAAGGGTCGCTACAGCTACTATGTTAATTATGAACTTTTGGGCAGCTGGGATTCCATTTAAAAGTTTTACAATAGTCCAGGGCGGAGATGATGGAGGCCTGATCAGGTGGCAGTCGGGGAGGCAGTACAGCAGAGTGGGAGTCTCAATATTGGAAGACGGAACTCTAGCTGGTTAATGGGTTGGATCGGGCATGAGATAAAAAGAGGAATCAAGGATGCCGAGGTTTCCAACTTGAGCAACTGAGAGGACAGACTGACCATTTTCTAAGATGGGAAAGACCACAAGAGATTTGGGTGTGAAAGTCATGAATTGGGTTTATATTGAGTTTGCAGTTAGAACGTTAGGTGGAGATGAGGTTAGGGGTCCAGGCTGGAGATCGGAATTTCTGAGTCAGTGGTGTATGAATGCAGGTAGACCCGTGACACTGACTGAGATCGCCCAGGGGATGGCTGTAAGAGAAAATGCCTCAGGGCTGAGCCCAGAGTAAGTAAGGGCCCATTTTCAGATGAGAAACTGAGGCTTTGAATGGTGAAATTGCGTGCCCTAAATCACATTTCCTCCAGATCACAATTGCTTCTTTTCCTAATGCCACATCCTTCATTCCTAATGCCAAGTATCATCATTGGGATACTTGATACCAAAGGAGAAAATCCTCCATCCTGAAATTTCCCAGTTCAGTTCTCCAGAAAGTTCTAAGTATTTGCAATTTGCTTAGGGATAGAGCTGGTTTTCTACTAGCAACTTCTCATCTTTTGTAAGTTCGTTGTGTCATCCAAATATATATCCTTCCCCTCTCAGGGTCTTTTTCCATGAAATAATAGATTTCATAAACACGCCACATTCTTTCGTTCAACAAACATTAAATGGCCACCTATTTTGAGCATCCTGCACAGATGATACAAAAATAAGCAACATTTTGCCCTTGACGTCAAAGAACCCCTAGTTTGTGCAAGAAACAGGTATTTAACAAATAAACACAATGTGACTTGCAGATTTTGAGTTCAGATGTGGTACAGAAAAGAGAGTGACTAACTCAGGAAGCCATCAGAGAAAAGAGCTCTGGAGCAGGGTTCTGAAAGATGGACAGTTCTCCAAGCGGCCATGAGGGGACTCGCCATTCCACCCACCCAGGCCTCCCCCGGCACTACAAGCCTGTCCTGGCTCACACTGCATTGATGTTCACAGCTAATGTTTGTATGGGGCACCACAGCTGGGTCACACCTGTGCCCACCCCTTTGTCTCTCGTCCATTCAGCACCACCCCCAGCCCATTAGGCTGGCACTGGAAAAGGGCTCAGAACCCATGGAGATCCCTGGTGGTCAAGGCCCCACAATGAATCACTCTATCCTCAGACATGCTTAGAGTGGAGAGATCACTTTAAAAAGGGAAGGTGTGGAGGAATGACTCACCTCAGGATACAGAGGGAAAATATGGAGAAATTAAACGTTATAGTTGAAAGCATAAAAGGATAAACCCACATTTATCTCTGTTTGACTTCCAAATAGCACAGGGATTGGATAGCTTCCTGAAACCAGCCCATGTGTGGGGATTAAGCATCAAAATCATCCCCCACCCACTGTCAGTCCTCCAGGAGGACTGGACCGTGGACACGGGGCACTCACGATTGGATCTGGCGGCATAGGCTGCTGCATCTACCAAATCCGTGGAGACGTCCATGACGAGGGTGACCACGGCCTTTGAGGCTCCGGGCCTGGCACCATGGACTTCTGAAGTGACATACCGCACAGCAAAACCCAAAGCGTCCCCTGGGAATGGAGAACAGACACACCACATCAGTCCTGACTGCAGGCGTTCCTCAAGCCAGCTGGGCGTCCTGTCGCAGTGTCCCCCAGGCCATCAAAACAGAATGACTCAAGACACAGAGAAACACACGGGGAGGTCTGGAGGAGGTGGAGGGGCACCGAGACCATCACTTTACAGGAAGGGAAGCTGATGCCAAGGGGCAAAGTGCCTGGCTAAGGTCACTCAGTGACTTGTGCCAAGAATTAGGGCCAGACTAGGCTCTTGCAATCCAGCCATGGTGCCACATTACCTATTTGGCTGGGGCCTCCCTCCCGCTGCATGAGGTCCACGAGGGTCAGTAAATGGGCTTTCTCCTGGGCCACCGTCCATGGCACATCGATGGTGGTGATGCTCCCATACTGGAGCACAGACACCCGAGTGAGCTGAGGCCCTAAAAGGAAAGAGAATGTGGGAGTCACACTCTGGCCCAGGGGAACCCGTAAAAGAGCCCCCCGCCAGCCTGGCCCTGGGAGAGCACCACTTACCTAAGTTGGCTTTTGAAATGAAAGCCTTGGCAAAACTCTTCATTTCGTCAAAATACGAATCTGGGAAGCCAGACGAGCCATCCAGGAGGAGGACCACATCCAGGGGCTGGCTGCAGTCTGCCGGAGACCAGGGAGGTCAGCACGGAAGCACCAGCGGGGCCACCGCTGCAGACGCCGTGCTCAGTGGGCGGCAGACACCGCCAATCACGCAGCACCACAAAGGGGAGGCTCTCTCTTTGAGAGGTGGCGGCAGGGGACCAAGGACAAGGGGAGGGGCCCCTGAGTGCCCCACATTTAGAGGCACTGGGAAGACTCTAACTCCTCCCCAAGGTAGTTTACATGCCTGCAGATGAAAGCACGAGGTGTTCACCCCCTCAGGAACAGGGGACGGCCACACTTCTAGAACTGAGTGGCAGAGAAACAGAGAGATGGCCAAAGCAAATGGCATAGGGCTGGAAAACAAGCTTGTGTGTTCTAGGTCTCCTGGGCTGTCTAAGGTGCTCTAAGGTATCCCAATCACACAGGACTGGTGCCTGTGTTGACGTCTGGGCATAGACATGGTCATGGTGAGGAAACAAGCTCTGGCCTGATGAGCATTCTGAGATGTGATAAAATGATGCTCTGTGGTTCTCAGCAGAAACACACTGAATTTAAATAAATCTGTGGCTCTAATTAAAACAAAAGCAAAGAAACAAGTCACAGATAACAAGTGTGACAATCCATAGACAGTGAAAGAAGGCTAGGTATTCTGGGATGGTCCCAAACACACCAAGGGATGTCTTGAATATTCTTATGTTTGAGAACTAGGAATTGATTAGACAGGAGTATCAGTTAAGAAGGTAATAATAATAGCAATCATGGCAAGCCTTTTTTGAGCACTTGCCATGTGCTAAGTACTGTTGTTAGCATTTTACATGTATGTACAATTGTTATCCCCATTTTACAGATGAGGGGACTGATACACACAGAGGTATTTGCCCCAAAATACCCAAAAATTATTACCAAAAAATTGCCCAAATTTACCCAACTAGTAACTGGCAGAGGTGAGAGTCAAACTAAGGCGGTTTCACTCCAGAATCTGAGGACTAGAACTCTACCTGTCAACTAACTTCTTAGAATAACTGCACCCACCCAGTGTGGTCAAAAAGCTGATAAGTCAACAAATTTAACAGGTTGCCTCCAAGGCACGTGGGATTGGATGGAGATGAGGCCATGTGGTAAAGCAAGATTGTATTTTTTACTCCATACTCTTGGTATTGTTTAAATGTTAATCATAGACTTTCATTTGAATTTACAAGCACACTCAATAAGAAAAGGTCTTCCCCAGAAAGGATCCCAGGCACATTTTCCCACCTGGGAGGTGAGAAAATGCAGGTGCTCACAAGGTATGGGTCTGACTGAAGGCAGAGTGCAGGAAAGCCCAGATTGGACAAGAACCACATCCCGCCCCAGTTGCCCCGGCCCTGCACCTGTGCGTACCTGGGGCAGGGGGGAGGGTGGGGATCCGCAGCCCCTCTCCGGAGCAGCACCTCTGCAGCACCAGGTCAGGGGCCTCTCGGGGCAGCATCTCAAAGTCCTGGATAAGGATGGGGGCGTTTGGCCAGCCAATCCTCTCAAGCTCCTGCACACTGGCATGAGGACCCACTCCAATGGGCACCACCTGGATGTCTCCAGGCATCCGCGTGATCACATCAGAGGCGGGGTTTCCTGTGACCATGTAGACCAGGTTGGGTGCCTGCTCCCGGTCACCCTGGCCTGCCAGGAAGCTGTGCTCAGACAGGTACCTCAGGGCCAGCCCAGTGTTGGTCCTGTTGCCGCCCTGGAAGCGAATCCCTCGCACACGCCGCAGGACGTCCTCCCTGGACTGCGCCTCCGTGAAGCTGTACTCCACAGTCACCATGTATGAGTACTGCAGCACTGTGACGTGGGTGCCGTCCTGTCCCACATCCATCTGCCGAATGACCTCCTCCATAAACTCCCTGCTCCTGTTGAAGTCGGCCTCGCCAATTTTGTCTGACCCTTCCAGGACAAACACGACGTCCAGAACCATGGATTTCCTCTGGGGTCCTGGTGATGAGACCCCCACAACTTCTGGGCCCATAGTGACTTGTGCCACAGGGAGGTGCTGAGTAGGGGCAGGAGCTTTGGGGGCAAGATCACAGAGGTAGTTGATTATCTCATCCCTCCACTGCTCCAGCTCGTCCACACTGCTGAGCAAAAAGGCCTTGTTCTCAGGGGCCTGCTTCTCAATGAGGCGGATCTGCTTGAGGCTGGCGTGGGGCCCGATGCCCACCGGGATCACAATGACCTTCTTCTTCTTCAGGCCCTGCACGTAGCGGACCAGGTTCCGGGCCAACTTCGGCGGCTCCTGGCTGGCCATCAGGAGCAGGGCGATGCGGGAGGCTTCGGGGCGGTCGACCTTGCCGAAGATTTGGAACAGCGTGTACTTCAAGACCTCGCTGGTGGAGGCCACCTCGCTGCCCGCGTACTTCACCTGGCTGGCGATGCGCCGCAGCTCCGAGGGCCGCTTCCGGTCCTTGAGCTGGATGTAGGCGTGGGAGCCATCGTGGTACTCCACCACGGCAACACGGATCCACTTCTGCGAGATGTGCAGGCGCTCCATCATGTCCACCACAAAGACCTTCAGCACTTCGAACTCAGCCTCCGACAGCTTGGAGGAACCGTCGAGCAGGAAGACCAAGTCCAGAAGCTTGCTGCAGTACACATCATGCAGCGGCGGCTCCGGTGTGTCCTCCACATACGGGGTGGTAAAGCTGACGGGGCCTTCCGTGGGTGGTATCACTAGGCCTCCGGGATCCCTGCAGGCCTCACAGGTGAGGTTGATGCCATCACAGTGACTGCAGTAGAGGCAGAAACAAGAAACCATTCAGGAAGAACTTCTGGGAACTTCTCAGCCTTATTCAGAACCGTTACACAAGTTCCCACAGGACTGCCTGCCAGGCCTCCCTGAACTGAGCCCCCCATCCAAGTAAGGCATCATGTTTTAATACATGTCCCCAGAGAGCAGCCCACAAGCATGCATGTGCGTGCACATACACACACACACACACACACACACACACAGAGCAAAGGCTTCCCTTTGTTCTAGACACCAAAGCTTTAACCTACTGTAGGACCTGAAAAAGAATCTTTCTTGCTTTTGGGCCATTCACTCTAACTTTTTAAAGTTCATGTCATTTTAATCTACATCTCTAGCAACATAAATATTTAATTATAATCCAAACCTTCTTCCAAGTATCTCCAAAGACAAACATTGCTCTAAAATGTTGACACTGGACTGGGACTTGTAAACGTCCCATTGCAGATAAATGCTTTACAGTATTTACTGCAGCAGAATTTAAGCTGCATGAATTCTGTACCATGTTTAATATGTTGGGCCTTAAGGAAGGGAAGAAGAAGCAGAGTAAAAACATTTTGGAAGGATGAATAAAGGTTCAAAATCCCAGCTTCCTCTAACAGAACCAAGTACTTGGGAGTCACATCCTAGGGCTTTCAAGATGTTAGACAGGAAAAAGGCAGTGGTTCACTCACTCATTGCTCCAGTAGACATATGGTGAACCTGTAAGCTGTGCACGGAATGGCTCAGTCCTGCACCCGGCCCCAAACACATACCCCAAGGCTGTAGCAGAGCCGCTGCCCCCACACAAATCCTCATGCTACCAGGCCAAATTTCCAGTCCCTTCTGGTCACTTCTCCCTTGTACCAGTGTCCTAGGAAGTGGCAAGGTGTGCCAGGCCACAGGAGAGATCCTGTGGTGGAGACCCATGCAGGCCAGGGCCTCCTCCTTTGGTACCCTCAGCCTCTGAGGCAACTTGCCTTCAGTATCCCCAGGAAAGCAGCAGTACCCCAAGCCCCAGCCAGTGGCCCCTACGGGGGCCTCCCAGGCAATGCCCCATCTTGCTTTGGAGCTACTGTCCACACCTGTCTGAGGCCGCAGGCTGTACCCTGGTGGCTGCCCCTCCGCTGTGCCGGTGGGGGGAGGCGGGGAGAAGGCAGTCCACTCTCATGGCCTTGGGCCAAGCCAGCACTGGACTCCAGTCATTCCTATTCCTCAGAGTCTGTTTCAGCACAGGGAGGTGGGCACACAGGGTCTCCCTGGGAAGCTAATTTTCCTACTTCCTCATAGTCCACACAATTTATGGCTTCAATCCTTGGTTAACAGTGCGTGAATGACATACTTTCTAGTTTCCTTTGTTTGCTAGAAAATTCGCCCTGGGCAATGTTTGTGCTTGTTTGTACAGATGGTGGCGGTGGGATCTGACTTTGGCAGCTGCAGCCACAGCCCTTCCCTAGCAAATTTAAGTTCTCAAGTTCAAGTTCCCATAAGGCTTGATCAGTGTCAGGGAGTGGTATTAAACACATGAACATTCAAATACATGTTCCCTACTTAGGAGCAGGGCGTCAGCTCGGAGCTCACCCCGAGGTTGCCTTCTCACCTCCCCAAAGACCAGTTCCGGGAAGCAATCCGAGAGAGCCCAAGGGGTAGAGATGAGTGTCCCCCTTCCCAGGCAGTTAAGCAATCCGAGAGAGCCCAAGGGGTAGAGATGAGTGTCCCCCTTCCCAGGCAGTTAAGCCCTGTCCTGGAACCTTGGCTGGGGCTCCAAGATGTCTGTGTGACACTGAGACATCCAGGCTATACTCCTCTGTCCTCCCTGTATCCCCACCTCCAGTAAAGAAGAAATCTGACTTCATGGACACCTGTCCTCAAGCTAGATGTGACCACCAGGGACAAGAGATTATGTCCTTCCTTCAGCCAGAAGAGGTTAAAAATCCTTAAGCTCTTCAGAGACCTTTTCTGAGGAAGAGATCTAGTTGGTTCTTAAAGAAAGAGAAGCAAACCTAAAAATGATTTAAACAAAAACACTCTACCTCTCAGCTCATCTAGCAAGGATGTTTTTCCAAAACCCAACCTCAGAGCAGGTCCCAGAGAAGATAGGAAGACCCCTCACTCCAAACACCAGGGGCTCTGTTTTACCAAATCTGGCAGTGCTCAGGATCACTGGGGTTCAAGGTGATTTTCTTTCCTGGGGCTAAGCGCCGGCCGGCAACCTCACATGTGGGGCAGTCCTCAGGGTCCACACAGCTCTGCAAAAGCTCATCCAGGACTTTACCTGCACGACAAACCCCCATTGGATCCCCACCCTCACCCCACCCACAAGGGGATGCACTGTCAGCTCCCGGGGCCTGGCCTGGAAGCCAGCCCTGCCTGCCTCCCCCAAGGCTCTCCTCACTACTTAGCAAGCAGCCTCCCTTCCAGGAACCTTGATTTATCCCTCCGCGAAACTGGGGATGGGGTGGCCCTTCACCCTACCTCACTCTCACTGCCCCCAAATATTGGGACAAATGGAATCTCATCTCCCAGGGTCTTCTCACCACAGTAAAGAATTCCATAAATCTAGATCTGTACCATCCGATTCAGTAGCCAGTAGCCACATGTGGCTGAATTTAAATTGAATTAACACTAAATAAAATCGAAAATTCAGTGCCTCAGACACACAAGCCACATTTCATTAGAACTTTCCCATCATTGCAGAAAGTTCTATCAGACCATGCTCCAGATGATAAACATCACCAGTAGGCATCCAGAAGCACTGTACACTCACAGCTGGCCTGGCTCTGAGGAAACCACACCTGGAACCAGACCGTAGAGTGGCAGATGGGGACCGGATGCCCCTGGACAAGACCAAGATGAAGCGGGACAGGGAAGCACCTTCCTGAAGACCCACCCAGCACCCCAGAGGCAGCCAACTTACCAGGAGGGCAGTGTGCATGGCAGCCTTCCACACACTGCACGGGGCACACCAGGGGCTCAGGGTGCTGGCACGTGATAGGACAGGCAGGAGCACAGCTGGCATAGCGCCACTCACACTCATACCCATTGTCCCGCAGATTCCTCTCCTCGCAGCTCTGGGCTGTGGGGCAGAAGCACAGGCTGTTAGAGCACTGGACACCGGAGCAACCAGAAGCCAGGGCTGCAGCAAGGGCCCCATGCAGGGGGCAGACCTGCGGTGCTGGTGGGCATGCTGGGGCATGGGGGAATAAGGAGTTGCAAACATTAGGGGCTTGCTGGCTTTTCAGACACCTGCACCAGGAACCTACTGGTCCCAAATCAGTTTTTCAGATAAAAACAATCAGCTGCTTACACCAAGGAGGACAGCCTCTATATCAATGCATGAGTTGACCACTCATATTGCAACTAGGACAGTGTCTAATTACAGCCATATACTGACTTCCTTTTCTTCCTCACTGCTGAAGAAATTCGCTCTTGCAGAATTTCTCCAGAAGAGTCTATATACATTAATGTCTCCATCCCCTGCACCTGTCCTTGTCTCTCACCCCAATGTCTTACCACCCTTGAGCCTCAGCTGCCCATCCCCACCCCTGAGCTCTGCCTCCTCTCCACCCCAACCACCTGCACCCCACTTTATGGTCTTAATGTCTGAATACACAAGGAAGGAGGGAGGGGTCTGAGACCACAGGGAAGTCAGGACTCACGGCACAATGTGGCGGTCCTCCAGGTCACCACCTTGCCATGCTGGGCACACATGTGGGCATAGGCAGCAATGGAGTCACAGAAGCAGGCACAGTCCCCAATGGACTCACAGGAGCAGGTGTCATAGATGCAAACGTCCAAGAATGGCTCAGGGTCCACCTGCAAGGGAGCCTCAGGGTGGCCTAGGCCCAGGACTTAGGAACACCAGATCTTGATCTGGGTAGGAATCTTCCTGCGGTCAGAGCAGGGAAGTGGGGGCTCCAGGAGACGAGGGGAAAGGTGGCTCAGTGGTTCCAAAAAGGGAGTGGGTAACAAGGCAGAATCCCTAGATTCTGGCCTGAAGTCCAGCAAGAAGAGCTGAATAAGGCAGTACTGTTGGTGTTTCATAGAAGATGAGGTCCCGAAGGATTTGTCAAAAGAACATTCCCTGCCATCCATCTTTGCACCTGCTCTGCCATCCATCCACCCCCATAACCCACTCCCAGCCTCATGGCATTTGGGTGTTTTTATACAAACACAAACACGTATCATGCACTTTCTTTCCCTGCCTCCATTCAGCAAAGAGGATGAAGAAACACACCAGGACCTGCTCCTGTCACCTCCCCGAGGTGCTATGGGGGCTAGTGGGAAGGGCCAGAGGACAGTTTGGGCCCTCCTGACCTGACTCCAAACGCACATGAAGGGGCGGCCCACGTCCACCCACATCCAGCCCCAGGCTGGCCCCTGAACACGCCGCTGCACACACTGGCCTTCTCCAGGCAGGCGTGACAGGAATGATTGCAGACAGTAAGTGGGCCGTTGTTTCTGAGACTTTCCAACAACCCTCATTCCCTGACACACTCGCTATGTCACCCTCCCAGCTCAGAGGGCAGGGTTTCCTCCACACCAGGGAATCCTATGTATCCTTGGGGGTCCTCAGGGACTAAATCATTGGGTGGATAGCATGCTGAGAGGCAGGTGGCCCATGGGCCACTCCCAAGTAGCCAGAGCCACAGAGCAGCACACACGTGTGTGGCTGTGTGTGTATATGTGCATGGATGTCCATAAACATGTACACATGTGCCCACATGTACACCCATATACGTGGGTACTTACATTCATACAGAGACAGAGAGAACTATAGGGAATTCCTCATCACCATTTGAGATGAAGACACAAAAGAAGTCATAAAATGAGGGCTCAGAATCCCTGGAGTTAAGGCCAGAAAAGGGTTTTTGTGAGACAAGAACTAGTTGCTAAAGGGTTTTGTTTGAGGGAGGGGTGGGGGTGCTATGGCCCAGACATGGAACAGCTAACAGGAAAGTGAAATCCCCAGCTCTAGTGTAAGAGGCAAGACAATTTGTGGAGGAGCACCCCTAAACTCAGGCCAAAAGAGAAGCATGGGTAGACGCCCGGAAGAGCTATGCCTTGCATAGAAGAAAAATGATGCACCAGGCACTGCTTTCAGCAGAAGCTGTCAGTTACACTTTCTGTTTCCAGCCTGCGGCCAAGGAAAGGAGTAGATGGGTGACATGACCCAGGGCTCCCCGCTGGCTGAGGCAGCACCTATGATCAGACTCAGGGTGCCAGCCTCAAAGCCGGCCCTCAGCATTCCTCCACCCCCGGGAGCATCACCCTCACCAGCTTGTTGCAGTCCTGGAACGCGTCACTGGTGAGGACTCTGCAGGCAGAATCCACCATCGTCTGCTTCATGACGTTGTTGCGGCAAGAGGCAGGGGATGAGTCCAGCGGCTCCTGGGGAACAGGGTGAGGGCACAGACGGACCAGAAACTGTAAAACCAGAAGGACCCTAGAGGCTCTTTCTGAGCGCTGCCCCCACCGCGGTTCCTACCACCCATCCCCACCACCCGCCTCCACCCTGGTGAAATTCTGGGGAGCAGGCCCCCTGGGCTCAAACTGCACAGAGACCCCGGACATACTTTCCTGGTGTCCGCACACTGCAGGCTCACTTTCCAGGAATTCCCAAAATCCACGGGGTCCTCCTCCACTTGGAGGCTGCTGCTGGTGAAGTCATTGTTCTGGTTGCCATCGAAATTCCCGCACAGGCCACACACCTGCTCCTGCCAGCCGGGTGGGGAGCATGAGCACAGTGACCCCAGGCCATTGCTCTGATTTAGGGGGAAGGGGTCCCAGGCAGCAAGCCAGGAGGGCTTGTCTGGGGAGAGGAGGGCAGGAGGGGGCAAGCACAGAGCCCCAGAGACCAGGGCGGCCAGCAGAGCCTTACCGTTGCCCAGGCCTTCTCCTGAGCCACCTCGCTGACCCCATTTTCAAGTTAAGGAAACAAAGATCATTCAGAAAGATAGACAATCTGTCCAAGTCCTGTGGTCAGCCGAGGTCAGAGGTGGGAAGGAGGCAGCCTCACCTCAGACACTCCAGTGTAAACCATCACCCTTCCCAGTAATGGTCTGAGCAGAGCCGGGCTGGTTCCATGTTACGTCCACGAGATCACAGGGGCCCAAGGAGGGAAGGTTCTGGCCTACTGTGTGGACAGGTGAGCCCCTTGCCGTAGAACTACAGCCTGTTCAGAGCAGGCTGGCCAGGATTCTACTTATGCTAAATGCCACCAGGGCTGATGCAGTATCTTATTTGTCCCCATGTTCACCCATCATGGTGTGCAGCCTGCAACAGGTCCTGAACAAGAAGCCACTGAGTGACTGGAAACCATCTCTTCAGAGCCATGGGAAGAACTGGAAATATCTGGCTCAGAAAAGAAAAGGTGCTATGCTCTTCCAACACATTTGGAGCTCTGTTTTTGGACAAAGGGATATAACTTACTCTATTTTGCTTCAACACAGAGAATCTGATTTGGTACAATGGGTTTGAGTTACTGGAAAACATGTGGAAGATTGCTCTCATTGACCAAAGGCCAGTGATCTTTCCGTGGCCTGCAGCCCCCATGGAATGGCCGCTGCCCTCCTGGCTAACTGCACTCACCCAGACCCTTCTCCCCATCAAATTGGCCTCCTTGCTCAGACACTCCAAACACCTCCCACCTTGGGGCCTTTGCACGTGCTATTCCATTTGCCTAGTCTCCCATCTAGATATTTATCTGGCTCACTCCCGCCCTTCCCTGAAGACTCTACCCAGACATCGCCTTTTCACACAGGTCTCATCAGACCACCCAATCCAACATAATAGCCCCACTAGAATATGATCTCCCCCAGGGCTGGGGTAGGACAACCATGGCCCCCAGAGGGGTCCATGACCCAATCCCCAGAGCCGTGACTGTTTACCATACACGGCACGAGGCACTCTGCAGCTGCAATGAGGCAAGGATCCTTGTGTGGGGAGACTGCCCTGGATCACCCAGGTGGGCCCAGAGCAGTCACAGGGCCTGGTGTGGCACAGGAGGAGTCAGAGGGAGGAAGGTGGTGCAGAGGACAGACACAGGGAGGTCAGAACATGCTGTTCTTTTGGGTTGGAAGACAGAGGATGAAACCACCAGCCTAGGAGCGCAAGCAGGCTCCAAAAGCTAGGAAAGGCAAGGAAACAGATTCCCCCCAAAAACTCCCAGAAAGAATGCAGCCCTGCCAATACTTTTGGCCTCCAGAACAATTAGATAATAAATTTGTGTTGCTGTTTTAAGGTACGAAGTTTGTGGTAATTTATGACAGTAGCAATAGGAAACCAAGGATTAAGATATATATATACATATAATTTATGTAGGTACATAGGTGCTAGATGTGTGTGTGTGTTTCCTTGCTGTACCCAAGGTGCCTAGAACAGTGCATGGCACATACCAGGGCCCGAGTAAGAGTTTGTTGAATAAATGAATGAGTGAATTCCAGCAATGGAATGGGCTTCCACAAGAAGGAAAACAGTGCAGCCCCACTTCAGCCCAAGCCAAAAAACAAATGGGTCTGTCTGAGATGCTGCAATGTCATTCCCGCCAAAACTAAACCAGCTACCAGAGTAGAAAGAGCACTGGTCACAATACCTGCCAGTTAGAGAAAGTGTTAAAGTCCCAACAAACTTGGAACCTGGAAAAGTACTGTGAACTTTCTCAAAAGGAGGTTATCACCAGTTCTATAGAGAGCTCTAAAAGTGTGCTGGCCTCCGGCTCAATGGTAAGGCAACATCCCAGAACACTTCACAGTGTTATATTATTTTGCATGGTCAATTCACCTCTTTAGGTTACAAAACCTTAAGAAAAGCTATTGCCTGACCTTTTAACTTCCTTCTTTTGTGGATATGAACTGCATGCCTCACAAGCCCGTCAAGGCACGGTTTGCAGGGTTGGGAGGCCACCCTCACTCTTCCCACATGCTGCGAGTCTCAGCAAACAGCCAAGGCTCACTGCACCTTGAGTCCATGGTGTGGGGAGGAAAGCTGCGCACGACAGTGGGCAGGGGCAGTGGGTGCAGCTCAGAAAGCCAAGGAAGGTGCAGACAAGTCACAGACAAGGTGAAGAGGAAGCAGAGAAAGGCCACTGACCTGGTATGTCTGCTTCAGTGACACGGAGATGCCCAGGTGGTGGTCCCAGACCACAGAGATTGCCTTGCTCAGCAGCAGAATGACATACCGGCCAGACTCCACAATCTCAAAGTACGTTTCATCCTTCATGGGTTTCTTCACATTCACCTAAAGACAAAGCATGACAACGGGGAGGATGGAGGACAGGCTTGAGGGTAGCTGCTCCCTCCACACATGCCAGGCCTGTCTCCAAGGCCCTCCAGAAGTACAAGTCATTGGCCCCGGCCGGTCAGAGCACAGCCCTTTGGGGCCAGCACCCCACTGGACATTTCTGTGTCCTCCTCGCCTACCACTCTCCAAAAATCCTATGATGAAGGGATGATAATAGAGCTAAATCATAATGATGAAACTAAAAATATGATGAACCAACCAGTAGAAGATATAGATTAAATGGTATATTAAATGCACACAGTCCCCTACATAGGTTTTTAATGTGCCAATGATTTTACACATCTCTGGGTAATTGATTTAAAAATCTACCCTTTTATAAAAAATGAGCACTAGACTCTCTCCTTTTCTTCCCCCATCTCCCACTCCCCAGAGTCGCTGTCATCAGGAGCCAGAGCTGACAGAGAACAGGGAGAATGAGGAGCTCGGAGCTGGTGGCGAGAAGCACAGACCTCAGTTTCCAGAGGGACTCTGATCTGAGCCCTGCCTCTCGGCTGGCTCGTTGCCGATGCCGAAACTTCAGGGCCGCTGCAGCATGCTCAGCTGACCACCTACCAACAGGTGTTGCCGAGAACCTGTCACCCCTCTGCGAAGGTCCTCTCCTTATGGCATACCACATGCAGAGCTAATCACGTGTGCTCGCCTCCTCTTCAACATCTCGGCTGTCACCTGCCCTAAATAAGCTGTCCTTGGAAGTGGAGGTGACACTGTTGACCCACAGTCAAAAACCCCACATGTACTGGACACTTTTCTCCCGTAATGGAGGCAAATTCACTTCCCACCCCCTGATGTCAATGATGGGTGCTGGCGAGAGGGCAGAAATGCAGTCTGAGACCGTGAACAGAATGCAGACCCCAGGGCAGGTCTGAGCCCAGGGACCCTGGGTCTCCCTAGTCCTAGATGCAGCCAGAGCAATGGAAGCAAAGCTGTGGCCTACCGAGTACCTGCCACTTCAGATGCAGATTCCTGGGCCCCAGGCAGACCTACAAGCCAGAATCCCAAGGTGGACCCAGGAGCAGCATCTGAAACAGCAGCTCCCAGGCAGTTCTCGTGTACCCTTCTGAGAACCGCTTCGTAGCTCTTAGCACACAGGGACTGAATCCACTGTTCTTTTGAGCTCTTTTAGAAGGATTCGGTCTAAGAAGTTCTGAAAGTAAAGAGAGTAAAAACCTTCCCAAATATGTATAATGTATGTGTGTATAATTACATGTACATGTGTGTATACATAATGCATGTGTATATAATGTATATGCATAGATAATAAATGTATGTATAAATGTGTATATATGTGTATATATGGTGTGTATATATTATATGTATGTGTAATGTGTATATATGTACATATGATATAGACATATATGTATGTGTGTATATGTGTATACATGATACGTGTATTTTATATATGTATATGTGTGTATATAATATATGTGTGTATAATATACATGAATAGCATATATAGAACATATATGTGTGTGTGTGTGTGTACATATATAAGGAAAGGTCTTCCTGCCCTTCACTCTCCACCCCACCCTCCAGAGGTAAAAACTGACTCCTCTCTTCCTCACGTAGATGCAGTTACACCTCCTTGTGCACACGTATCTCTGCACTCTCTTACTAAACTGGGACTGTGTTACCCACAGCTGCCTACAGCCTGTCGTTCTCGTAGAATGTGTCAAGGTCAGATGACCCAGCTCTACCTCACGTGCTTGAATGGCTGCACAGAATTCCAGGCACGCAGATTGTAAGCGAATGCTTGACCCATGCCCTTCATCAGCTGACAGAATGAAGGATAGGCTGGCACTCACCTCCCCATCAAATAGTTCAATCTCTCCTCCTTCCACCAGGATGGTGACCCTCTTCTTGCACTTCACTGAGGGGTAACTGCACCCCTCATTCCCCACCAGGATCCGAAAGGTCCCAGGGTTACCGCCACAGTAATCCTGGGGGAAAGAGATGCCAGGAGAGGAATGTCATTCCCACTAGCACTCCCTGACCAAAAGACTGGCATCATCTCAGGCCTTTGAAGGACATGTGTTACAGGCTGTTACCATGTCCATGCATGTGTGTGCCTGTGTGTGTGAGGGGGAGAGAGGAGGTACACTTGAAGGTGAACTCCCTCTGGCATGTCATCCTCAGCCATTATGTATGAACCAGGTGTCCACAGCCATGAGCCCAAGGTAGAGGGGGAGGGAGCGAGGGGGAGGGAAGGGCGTGTGGCATGCCCTGATGGGTGCATCAGCACAGAGCCCCTACCTAGAACCTGTTAGCTCTCACTTTCACCCAGGTAACGAGGACAGTTGGAGACCAAGGCAATCAGTGGCTCTAAATTCTTTTGGCCCAGAAATGTAACTAAAGCTGATCTAACACAGCTCAGCAGGAGCTAAGTTACCATCTCTAGTTGGGACTAGAGGGTGAGGGGACACTGTCCTTGCTGGTCAATGGCATAGAAAATCAAGCAAAAGGGGCACATTTCTAGCAAATACCTCCCCACAATGGCTATATAAAGGGGAAAAACACACTCAACTTAGAAAAACTAGATGTGAGCCTTAGTTCTGCCACTTACCGGATACATTGATAAGTCACTTCTCTAGAATCCCTACAGATGCATGCACATATGCACATATACACACATGCACATACACACATGCACACACACAACACACACACATACACAGACACACAGATGCATGCACATTCACACACAGACCATAGACACATGTGTGCATACATGCACATACAACATTGATAGATACATACATATGTTCGCACACATACATAAATACAACACAATCTGTCACTCTATAAAACAGGATTAGCCAGCTTAATGGGACAGTCAGGCTAAATGGGTTTGTGTCAAATCACGGGATTATGAAGTTACAGTAAAAGAGAGAATGAAGTTACAAGTGCTTGGTAAATTACTTTTGTCCCCAGCTGAGCTTTTTCTGAAAAAAAAAGACCTACCTCCCAAAGGAGGGAGGGAGAAAGGAGAGGTGGACCCAGGACAAAGTATCAGAAGGGGACAGGGGACAATAGACTGGCTGGGGGAAAGGAAAACAAACAACTCACAAAAGACCACAATTTGAAAGGGACTCTAAAACTGGGCCACGTGGGAAAGCTTTGCCTGGGCAGTGGAAGAGCCACAGAGCAGCAGCTCTGAGGGGCTGCCCTCACTGCACTGAAGTAGTCATGCTTTCTGGGTGCTCAGACTTGAAACTGGAAAGTGTAGGTGAGCCCCAGAGCTGGTGTCACACCATCTTTTGCTACCAAGAATGGGAGGCAGACAGGTAATTGAAAGACAGGCTTCCGTACATAATCTGTGGGAAAGCTCTAGAGGAGGATACACCCCATATCCACAGATGCTGGTAAAACCATTTCATGGTGTGGTGTGTGTGCCTGTCTCCCCAACACGCTGCACACCTCCCTGGGGCCAGACTGGGGAACGGCAGCGTTGGTTGACCACTCATTCCCAGCATGCCCTGCACACAGCTGATTGGTGTCATTGCTCGCTCCCAGCATGCCCTGCACACAGCTGATTGGTGTCATTGCTTGCTCCCAGCTTGCTCTGCAGTCATGCATGCTCAGTCACTCTTCTGCCTGACTCATGCGGCCCTGCCTCTGTGTTTGGGGCTGAGGCTCATCCTCCCTTCAGACCACCCCAAGTCCCATCTTTCCCCCTCCTACGAACAGACAGACCACATTTGTTTGAAGCTTCACAGGGTCAAGCCATCTCATCCCTCATGAGAAAAGCACTCGTACCTCCTTGCTTACCGACTTTGGTGTCCACCAGCAAGAGAAACTTACAGGAATCCATGCAGTGGGAAGAAGGAGGCAGAGGGGCTGGTGCCCTGACTAACCAGCTAGGATTTCCTGGGCTCTTTCTCATCCCATAGGGCAGTATGACTTTTCTGTGCCCCTCCGCACCCCCCCACTCTGAATTGCACTGGGTTAGAAATGAAAATGATGGAGAATGCCATAGCATTGCAGGAAGCAAATTCCAGGGGTCATTTCAACCATCCCCCTGTCCAGGCCACTGCATAAGGCCATGTGGGCTGTTTACTGCACAAGAGTGCTAGGAGGGAGGTTGAGTGGGAGCTAAAATCCAGCCTGGCCCCCACTCCCCACCATGCATCCTCACTGAGGCTGCAATGGCAAAAGGAACAGATGACTTTTTTTTTCCTACAGACAGAACAGCAGAATTCACCCAGAAACCCCCAGATTGCATTCAGCACCTCCCACCCCCTGGAGAGACAACACTCCCCACCCCACACTCACCTGCACCAGAACATACTGGCACTCCCCGGGGAACATATATTTGAGCCCGTCGAAGGTGAGGTAGTGGGCCATGCCAATAGCAGAGCACGTGGCATCACACACATGGTCCGTGCAGTTCCACTTCCTGTCCCGACAGACACTAGAACGGCAACAGGGAGGACGGGTTGGGCACTGGGCACTGGGGACGAGGAGACAGTGAAGGTGCACAGGATGCTCCACTGCGCTGCCCAACCTCCAGGAAACCTCAGGACATGGAGCATCTGCAGCCTGTGGGGCTTGGGCCTCAGGGGTACCTCACAGCTGGAGCGGACTTTGTAGTCATAAACTGACACAGGGCCCCGGAGGAGAGAGGGGCCTGCTCTCCGTTGCAGGGTAGACACTAAGGACAAGGAGGCAGGCCATGAGGGGTGATCCAGGAGCCAGGGGAAGAGGCCCAGGCCCTCTGTAGATTGGCTATGCATCTGCTAAAGCTCAGCCACCTTGGGAGCGCCTGAGTGGCCTTAGGTTCTTTACAAAACAGACACTGAGGTGGAAAGCCCCCTGAGGCATATGGGAAAGTAGCACAGAGGAGCAGGAAGTTCTGGGCTGGGAAAATAGTCACGAACTGGGAACTTCTGCCAAGAGAGGCTTTGTGTGTACACAGCTCATGTTTACATCTACTGATTTGCCGCTTGCCACCGTGCTGCCTCCCACCACCACCCCAGAACCAGAGCAGACACCAGGAAGCCCACTCCGTACGTCAGAGGCAGTGCACTCAGACCTCAAGCCAAAGAGACATCTGTGCCCCTTCGGGCTCCCAGCCCTTCCTGCTCTGTCCACACGGGCCTTTCCCTGAAGCTGGGCACAGCCCAGAGGTCAAAGGCAGGGTGGGTGAGCAGAGCTGAGGACCACATGAAGGACGGCCATGGAGAAGGGAGAAGGCACACCAGCCACCCTCACAAGTCCCTTTTCAAACTGAGCCATGGTGAGCACACCGGCAATACACTTCGTGGGCAGTGAAAGACCAGAGGGGGGCTCCAGACCCACACCTTCTGGCAGTTTGTTCACAGTACAGGGACCAACATGGAGCAGGTCCTCCCTAAGTGGAAGCCCTACCCGCTAACAAAGTGTCTGTGCAGGGCGAGCATGCGCGATGGTAAAGATTCTCCCCACTTCACAGATGCAGAAACAGAGGCACAGAGAAAGGGGAAAGAATGAGCACATTCCCACGGGATGCTGGAGGCAAGCACCAGAGGGCCAGGTCATGCCTTGCCCACACCCCCTCCCACCCTCCCGCCCCCAGGGCCCCTCCCAGAAAGCCCCCCAGGGCCTCACCATGTGTTGCAGCCCATTTTCAGCGTGTCTCCCGGGGCATACTCTCGGCCCTGGTGGAAGCAGGGACACCTTTCCAGGGCCACACACCGGTTTTCATGCCGGACCTGCAGGAAAGGAGTCCAAAAGTCTTGGGGGCCACAGTAAGTGACCAAAAGCCCTGCTGGGAGCACAGCCTCGGCCACAGGCCAGGCCAGGGAGCCCACACCCAAGCTGAGGCTTGGCAAACGCAGGCTCCCATCTACACGATGCGCCCAGCTCGCCCTTGGCCCTCATACCCTGCTGGCGACAGGGCATCCTGGGACCTTGGTGAAGACTCGTTGGTACACGTGTCAGAACCCTTGAAATGTGCATATCCTTAGACCCTGTCATACCGCATAGAGGACTTCTCCAAAGGAACAAAGTTATACACAAAGATTGATGTAGAATTATCAGCACAAAAAAATGGGAACAACCAAATGTTTAAAATAGGAAAATGATTAAATCCATTAAGGAACCCCCACATGATGGCATCCTATGGAGCTATCAGAATGGCCCTTGGAATAATCATAAATGATGTGAGAAATATGCATGCTGTTAATTTTTTTAATGGGGGGGAATAGTACCCATATATGGTCCCAATTTTGAAACTTACAACTTTTTTTTCCCAAAAAAAGACTAGAAGGAAATACAGGCATTGCTTCCAGATGGTAAGCTGGGATAGCCAAGTGGAGACAGTTATTTCCTTTCCTGGTTTTTAAATTCTTTTTCTAATGTTCTTCAGTGAGCATGTACTATGTTTATAATTGAAAAAAATGGACAACATGTTTAATAAAATTAAAATGCACTTAATACCCTGGTGGTAAAAACTGAAGACCGGCCCTAGACAGGGATGAGCCAAAACCAGAGTCTGAGGCTTGTCCAAGTGCCACATGGCGCCCCCTCACCCAGTGCCCTGAGATTCGGGCACCCACAACGGGGGCGTGCTCTGCTTCCCTGCCCTCTGCCCACAAAGAAATTACCAGTGAGCATGTGACACTCCTCAGGTCTGTGCGGGCACAAGGGCAGAGAGAACTAACGACCCACTGGCCTCAGGGGGCTTAGGAAAAGCTGCCAAACTTTGATTCCAACATGCAGCTCTGTCTAAACCCAGGGAGGCAGCTCTGGACATCGGCGTCGGCTTTGGAGTAAACCAAGCTTGGGTGTTAAAGACCCGCGGTGCACAGACACTGAGAAGCCACCGACCGTTACATGGGGGTGGGAAGGGGGAGGGGGATAAAGGGGCACAAAAATATCATAACGTAAGTCGGTCATGGGGACAGTATGGAGACAGCACGGAGGATACGGCCGATGATTCTGTAACACCTTCCGATGTTGACAGATAGTAACTGCTAAATCTTTCTTGTGTGCTTGAAACCAACATAATACGATATATCAACTGTAGTTCAATAAAAAACTACACTTAAAAAAAAGAAAAGAAAGAAAGAAAAAAGACAAAGATAAAAGACCCAGGGGTCCCCCTCCAGTGACGGGACCAGGGCACTTGGGCTCCGGGGTGGCCTGGGAGGGGAGCGGCGCCTGGCCTCGGCGGCTCGTGAGCTCCTCTCGCTCCGCAGCCGAGCCCGAGGTCCCGGGCCGGGCGGCAGTGCCGAGAGCACACCCCGTGGTGGCTCTGACCCCCGACGACCGCCGTTCTTGGGGGACAGTAAGCTTAGGCGCCCAGCAGGGAGATGGCACCTGGGTAGGAACAGGGAGGGAGGGAAATGTCTCTCCCAGCGTCTCGGGAAGCTGTCACAGCTGGGGTTCACGCCCACACCGCCCCAGACCCGTTCCCCGCTGGGACTTAAGTCCGAGGGCTGCCACCTAGTGGCCGCTCCGAGAACGGCTGACGTCCCCTGGGGAACCTTGGCAGGCTCTCAACACTCACACCTGCCGGCAGTGGAGCCCAGGCAAGAAGCCTCATTACTGGAAACACTCTGAGAGAGGAAAGCGATGCCGGATGCCTAGGAAACAAGCCCTGCCCACCTCCCTCACGCACCTCGGCAGAATACACGCGGCCCCGTCGCCATCAGCAGGCTGGGTCTGCATGCCGGAGGTTTCCACCTCTCTCCACGGGAGTCAACCCCCTGACCAGAGGTCGCACACCCACTTGGCCCAGGGGTGAGTCCCGGGAAGCCCAGCCCTCCTCCTGGGGACACCAGCTCAAATCCCGGCGTGGCTCTGAGATAATGCCGCCAGGTCCCTGCGCGCTTTCTGACACCCTGCGGCTCCTCTCTGACTGACTTACGGATGGATCACAGTATCAAGCAGGACCTTGGCAGTGGGTGAGGTCTGTCAGAAAGATCCTAAGTCAGCACTGGAGAGGGGACAGAGCACCACCGTACAGGGAGAGGAGCGGGTTTCCAGGCACAGCTCAGCATGAGGGAGAGATCAAATGACAGCAGCCCCGCCAAAAGCACCCAGAGTCCCAACATTAGCGAAAATCATGGAGAGAGAGAGATAAAGGCAGGACACAAGGTGAACAGGACCAAGAGGAGAAGTGGCCAGACATGTGGGGTAGTCCAGGGTAGCAGTCCTCAACTTGGTGTGTGGCAAGTCACTTAAACTTCATGTTTCAAATGAAGGAAACCTAGTGTTTGATCCTTCAGGATGCCAGAAAAATAATAAGACAAAGTCTTCAAATGTCCTTCAAAGATTTCAGAAGAAAACAGGCAGAAACGGTGTCACTATTGTTTCTCAGCTCATGTCAGCTTGAGTAAGAATGGCTCCAGCTGAGAACATGGTACTAACTCTCAGTCAGCCCCAAGAAAAATTATGAAATAGAAAAAAGTTAGCTTCGTTCCTCTTCTCTGAAAAGGCCCATCTTCCACACACCCCATAGACAGACACCATACCAACCCATTCTCCAAAATCTTTTAGACTTCCAACCATCCTTTGTTCTAGCTCCCCACCTCATCATTACTTCCAGCTCAGTGCAGCTGATTTCAAGGAGATATTTGTTAGGAGGAAAGAATCTGATTAAATAATTCACACTAAAGTGTGAATGACTGCCTATGAGGATTTATATGGTTGTAAGCTTTTTTAAAGCTCTTGCTTGCAAACCAAAATGAATTTATGCTTATTATATTGCAGTATGCCTGATTAGGTGACAAACTGTGCAGGTCTAAGAAATATTTTTGAGACAGGAAGGCTTTCTTGGGCCTTTTAAAATTACACCTCATAGGATTTACAATGCCTACATGTGAGGCCCGCCCACTCCCGACGGGCCGCTGAGCCCAAGCCCTAGAACTCAGAGAGCCATGGCGAAGTCTTCCCAGTCTTCAGACAGGGCTGGTGAGAAAACTGGGCAACAAAGGAGTGGGGAGATGAACATGCTTTCTGACCGCTAAGGTTTCCTAATACCAGCAGAATGGGGCACCAGTTTGGAAGGTGTAACCACTCAGTTTCAGAGGGTGAGTGGCTGGGCCACCCAGAGGGAGGCGAATGGAGCCAAGGAGCCCAGTCTGGGAGTTAGGAGACCAGGATTTCCGCTGTTCAGCTTTGTAGCCTGGAATGGTGGTGTTTCCTTTCTTTGGTCCTCCCACGTGATGGGGCTGCAGTCGTGGTCAGCAGGGCCCTCCCCGCTCTGCCCTCCACGATGCTCCTGGAGAATCACAGCCTTGACAGGACTGAGGCTCCAGGCGGCAGTGGGTTGTGCTTTTCTGCCACCTCGTGGAAGACACAGGTAATAGTCTAACATAAAGGCAGGACGTGTGCTCTAGAATTTCTGAACTAAATTAGACAGGGGAAATGTTCTAATGTGACCTCCTAATTTTATTGATTCAGCGGACCTCAGAATGGGGACACTGAGGTCTGAAAAGTTGCTCCCAGTGTGCACTAATTTCTTAAAGCGTCTGTGAGCATAATAGGATTCACAGTTGTCTTCCATGACCTTATCAGAGCGGTCACTAAACAACCACTAACAGCAACTTCTGTGTGCCTGCCCCTTTCCTCTCCAGCCCTGGCATCAACCCTGCTCACCCAAATACACAGGTAAGAAAAATCAGACACAAAGAGTTTAAGTGACTTGCCACTCAGTTAAGTAAACATCAAGGAGCCAGGATGCAAACCTAGAAGACTCCAATGCCTTTTCCATGCAGCTTACCCCCAGCCATTTATCAGGGTGTTGACCACTTATCAAAAGCATCCCTACCCCTTTGTTCTGTGTAAGGAGACTTATGCACCAGTGGCAGGAGCAGATGCAGTTTGCAATTTGTGGAGGGGACCAGAAAACCTCTGCTGTAAACAGGTGTCAAACCTGAATAAACTGCAAAGAGGGGGAATTTCCAAACAGGTGCTGCTGGCCTTGCATGGACTTCTTGAAAGGGGAAAGGCAAGCTTCAACCGAGAGCAGCGCTGCTCGAAGTGTGGTCCGCGGGCAGTGCCTGTCTGCAATGACGTTCATGCAGAAATGGAGTGCTGTTTAATCACATGGTAGTTCAACTAATATATTGTGTCTGTTGTATTTAATAAAAATTGCAGGGTGGAGGGGCTCATATTTTGTATGACACTGCCTTTTGTTTCATTTTTCTGATCACTCATTGGTACTGCATTTACAAAAGCTTTGGTCTCGACAGATTGGAAATTTAAGAAAATGTACACTTCAAGGGTCTCTCCTGTGGGTAGGAGGAAGTGATTGGCACAGCCTCTGAGCCAGAGCCTCGGTTATTTATGAAAACGGCAATTAAAGCTATTGCTATGATACAACAGCACTTTCACATACAACTCTTTCGGACCCACAGCCAACGTATGATGAAGGCACAACAAGAAGTATGTGTCCATGTTACAAATGAGGCAACCGAGGCTCAGAGAAAGAATGAATGATTGAGCAAGAGCAAAGAGCCAGCAAGGAATGCAGCCCAGACCGAGAGCTTGCCCTCTGCCCTATTCCTACTCAGGTGCTCTTTCTGCTCTCAGGAGACCTGCCCCTCAGCAAAGAGTCACTTTCTACCCCTTTCAAGACTTGGGAATGCAGAATCCATGACCTCTTTCCCCAAGCCCTTGCAGCATGTCACAATCTCGCACCTTCCGCAGGGGCCAGGCTGAACAGAGAAACACCCTCGGGGAGAGTGTCTGCACTGTCACATTGGCCCAAACCAGTGTTTCCAGCTCCTTGTGCTTTGCACTGTGGCCAAGAACACATGTCCAGTGCAGCAGCCAGCACACCGTGCACTTAATAAATCACCCGGATATTTCTGCTCTGCCAAATCTGGCCTTAATGATTTGCACATTAGTCGGCATCATAATGAAGCAGTTGTGAAAATAACCCAATCTCTTAAACTATGAGCTTTCAAGTTTGATCCTCTACAGTTGAGGTCAGAGTCACCTCATTATGTGACGGGTGCCCAAAGGCTGTCCTCAGAATGCATGCTAGGGGCTTCAGGAATGCCAGTGGGCTCCTAACATCCTGTGCTTGAGGTCTTGCTGTCCGCTGGGGATTTGGGACAAAGTTATTAATACTTCAGACGATCTGTACTGCATCCCTTATGAAACCAAAGTCCCTCGGAAAGAGTGGCTGATGCTGACATAGTCTCCTGAGAGATGTCCCTTTTCTTTCCAGATTCTCTCTGATGTTGGGAAAATTTCTCCTCCAGGTATGATGAAGCAACAGTCAACGAAAGAAGCCCGAGGGCAAAAGGAGCACTAAAGAAGCTTCCCCTCCCCTCTGCTATTTGCTGTCCCTGCCCAGCTCTGAGTCCCTTGCCATTACAGGCCTCCTTGAATAGCCACTTCTTCCAAGGCACCGAACAAAACCTTCTAGTGTGGAGGCACTCCCTGGCCAATGTCCTGTTCCCCCATCAGAAAAGACAGGTCTGGGGTTCTCTTGTCCCCTCCTGGAGTGAGCCAGGAGCTCTATTCTCTCACTTTATTTCTAAATAAAAGCCTGTACCTTGCTCTCCTAAAAAAAAAATAAAGTGTATAATTCATTGACATTAACTATATATACAATATCATGCAGCCATCACCACTATCCATTTTCAGAACGCTTTTGTTAAAAAAAAAAAAAGAAAAGAAAAGACAGGTCTGGAATCCTCAGAGGCTAAAAGAAAGGGTAACGCCCAGGCAAGAATCACTAAGAGCTGATCTCTGCCTTGGAGGACAGAGGGTGGGAGGACAGGAAATGGACCATCTTCCCTGCACACCCCAGTCCGCAGCCTCCCTGGGGGCCACCAGTCATGGGCTCAGGTTCCTGCTGCACAATGTTGGCAGTGCCCACAGCCGCTCTCAGGTCACCGCTCCACAAGCCAAGGCCCCGGCATCACTGATGCCCTTAACAGCCATCCTGCACCCTCCCATTGTGACCTCTACAACCTCTACACCAGTCCCTCATCACTCACTTTGGGCGCAAGTGAAGTCAGGGAAAGCAAGAAGACAGGATGCATTTGAAACAGAAAAATCCAGAAGTTGAGACTTTCAGGAACGCAAGAATAAAATATGTATACAGTAGTCCCACTTACCTACAGGGGATATGCCCCAAGCCCCCCAGTGGATGCCTGAAGCTACAGATAGTGGCTAAATAAACCCTATATGTACTGTATTTTCCTATACATACATACCTGTGACAAAGTTTAATTTATAAATTAGGCACAACAAGAGATTAACAACAATAATAATAAAATAGAGCAATTATACAATATTCTGTAAAAGTTACATAAATGTGGTCTCTCTCTCAAAATATCTTATTGTACTGTGTTCACCCTTCTTATGATAATGTGAGATAATAAAATGCCTATGTGGTGAGATGATGTGAGGTGAAGGATGCAGGCACTGGCTTTGTGACGTAGCATTAGGCTGCTACTGACCTTCTGATACTATCTCAGAAGGAGGATCAGCTGCTTCCAGACTGTGCTTGACCACGGGGAACAGGAACCATGGAAAACAAAACCACAGCTAAAGAGGGTCTGCTGTGACATATTTAACACAAAACCAGCCTCAGACTGCACTTGGGGGGGAGGTACGGAGGCTGGGGCATGCTCAGACCACTGCCCCCTGCAGCAGTCTAGAGAAGGCCACAGAGGAGCCGTGTGGCTGCAAACACACGCCTTGGACCACATGTGGGGCCCAGGGAGCCGCTGGCTGCAAGTCACATATTTGTAGCCCCAGTCCTGGAATCACAGGAACTTAAGAGCTAGCCAGGACTTCATGACTCACTTTACAGTGGGGAAAACAAGGCTCGGGGTGGGGAAGGGACTACTTGGGCCAGTCCTTGCTAGTGGCATGGCAAGAGACATAAACAACTTCTCTCGAAATAAAATGCTGTATGCGTGTATGCAAATCATATGAAATATGCATGCACCTTCTCATCATCATACAATGGAATGTAGCCCTTGCAAAAATACCTGTGGAAATGCCTGTGTTCGCTCTAAGTATTTTCTGGAAATAGTTGCTTTGCTTCCTACAGCCCCTCTGAGCACTAAGTCCTTGTGCGCTTGTCAGACCTCACCAGGGTCGGCCCCAGACACTTGGCCAGAGTGCTCTTCCCAACCCCAGCCCCCACTCCCACCCTTGTGCAGCTCTTGTTTCTTCCTTCCTCCAGTTCCACAGCCCACCTCACTCCCCACTGCGTGCCAGAAAAACGGAAGGCTGCCGGCCCTTTGTGGCTATGGGTGGCTTACCATGCCTGGGGGACAGAGGCAGCCCGAGACACAGCCCATGCTCATGCACTCCAGCTCGTAGTTCTGGCAGGTTTTGGCACACTCCAGCCCTTCAGCCCGTGGGGTGTCAGCAGGGCACACCAGCTTGACCATGGGCGGCCGGCAGGACAGGCTCCTCTTGCCTTGCAGACAGGAAGATCAAAGAGGCCATTAGCACAGGAGTGGGTGGCTCCACCTTCCACACCGTCCTTGGTCCCCTGGCCGTACCACTTCAGGGAGCCGCTGGCTGCAAGTCACATATTTGTAGCCCCAGTCCTGGAATCACAGGAACTTAAGAGCTAGCCAGGACTTCATGACTCACTTTACAGTGGGGAAAACAAGGCTCGGGGTGGGGAAGGGACTACTTGGGCCAGTCCTTGCTAGTGGCATGGCAAGAGACATAAACAACTTCTCTCGAAATAAAATGCTGTATGCGTGTATGCAAATCATATGAAATATGCATGCACCTTCTCATCATCATACAATGGAATGTAGCCCTTGCAAAAATACCTGTGGAAATGCCTGTGTTCGCTCTAAGTATTTTCTGGAAATAGTTGCTTTGCTTCCTACAGCCCCTCTGAGCACTAAGTCCTTGTGCGCTTGTCAGACCTCACCAGGGTCGGCCCCAGACACTTGGCCAGAGTGCTCTTCCCAACCCCAGCCCCCACTCCCACCCTTGTGCAGCTCTTGTTTCTTCCTTCCTCCAGTTCCACAGCCCACCTCACTCCCCACTGCGTGCCAGAAAAACGGAAGGCTGCCGGCCCTTTGTGGCTATGGGTGGCTTACCATGCCTGGGGGACAGAGGCAGCCCGAGACGCAGCCCATGCTCATGCACTCCAGCTCGTAGTTCTGGCAGGTTTTGGCACACTCCAGCCCTTCAGCCCGTGGGGTGTCAGCAGGGCACACCAGCTTGACCATGGGCGGCCGGCAGGACAGGCTCCTCTTGCCTTGCAGACAGGAAGATCAAAGAGGCCATTAGCACAGGAGTGGGTGGCTCCACCTTCCACACCGTCCTTGGTCCCCTGGCCGTACCACTCAATTCCAGAGACTCAGAGCCACCCTGTCCCTGGGACGGAGACTTCCGGTCGGGTCTGGTACTGAGCTCAGCTCCCTGTGTGGCCCTGGGGAGGCAGCCTCCTCTCATCTGAGCTTGCGACCTTCGCCTGGGCTGAAAGCACCTCTCCTGACCTCAGCAGCCCTCTGGAGGCCCCACTCCTCACCCCTCTCCATCCTGTTCTAGCAACGTGCATTGAAGTCAGAACACACTGCAGCAATGTGCAATCCCAGGCTTAGAAGGACCTGGGTTTGGATGCTAAAAAGGGACCTTTACAGGCCCCAATGGATGGCTCCTAAAATGGCTACAACTGATTTATACTCCCAATGTGACTTTAAATGCCTCTGCTCACATGCCCTCCTCTGCCTGGCCACTGGCCATCCCACCCACTCTGTTTAAATTTGGGACACTCCATTGGTTGAGACATCTGTCTGCCCTCTCTGCCTTGTCATTCTCTACCTGATCACTGTTGATACAACATCCAATACACTACGTATTTTATTTAATTGTGGATTGCCCACCCCGCCCACTAAAATATATGCTCCATGAAGGTAGGGGGTTTTATCTACTTTGTTCACTGTTGCATCACATTTCCTGACAGTAGCATCAGTGGCAGACTAAATAAATGATGACAGCAGATATGGATACAGCCCCTTTCTTTCAAGAACCCTGGTGTACATAACAGCATTTGTATCTTACCACACATAGGGCTTACTTACTATCCCTTGTGGCCCTGAAAGCCAGAATTGGCAGACTTATTTTTATGTGGAAACTTTTGTGAAGTAACTGAAACCCTCAGAGATTAAATGGCTTCTCTGAATCACACAAAATTCTAGAAGTTTCACCCAGAGGGGGACACAGTGAGAAGCCTGGGACGTGGAAGAGGACCTTTCCCCAGGCCTGCTGGCACCCTGCCCACAGACTTCCAGGCTCCAGGACAGTGAGCGATGTGTCTCTGTTGTTCGTGAGCCCCGCAGCCTGCGGCTTTCTGTTCTAGCAGCCCGAACAGAACAAGCAGGGTCACAAGGCCTGATCTCAACTCGGGAGCCACCCACTTGCTTGGGCTCCCACCCAGCGCCGGGCTGAGGGAAGCCACCCCAACAGGAATGCAGGGGAGCCGGGCTTCCCATCCAGGGCAAGCTGCAAGACAGCACGTGGCGCACACCTATACCGCTGAGAGAGGGGGGGCTTGCAGAAGGAGAGAGGCAGACAGAGAAGAGGTCAAGTTTGAGGTTAAAAATAGCCTGTTTATTTGCCTAAAGGCACCACCCTCCCACCTATGAAGAGACCCTTTCAAGCAAGGATGACGGGTCGCTCTGGGAGCCACGAAGGCCTCCCATCCTGAGCACAGACATGGCCCCACAGCGCCAGCTCAGCACTCTCTCCCTTCTGCGCCTTCTCCTTAAAGTGCAGCAATTATTAGGTCCAAACCCCCTTCTCTGAAATCCATCTGAGTGGCTTTCTAAGGAGGGTCCTTGTCAGCATGTCCCTAGACAGAGAGGCCACTGAAGGAGGCGGTTTTCACCACAGTCAAGGGGACCAGCTCACTCGCCACTAAGGTCACCATGGATGAAATGGAGATCTCCCTGCATCCATCGTGCAGAGAATTCAGCCTTCCTGCTGTCACAGAATAAAATTCTTCTTGCCTCAATAATTGGGACATACATGTACAGAGGCACATTAGACAGAGTGGCCCAGCCCTCCCCAGTGGCCCGCATCGGGCAGAGGGAGAGGAAGGGCCCCTCCAGGGGGCAGTACTCACTGCGGTGAGACAGGGGACTGCCGAGGACAGAGTCCGGCAACAGGCTCCCCGGGGCTCCACTCGGGGTGCAGTGCATGAAGCCGTCCTCACAGTAACTGCGGGAGGAAAGACACCGCTCAGCTTTGCCCGAGCTCCTGCACCTGCTGGCGCTGTGTCCTCACCTGCTACTCACCCTCTGCCCCTCCAGCTGGGCTCCCAGTCCACAGATCATCTGAAACACACCCACCACGGCCACCAATAACCTGCATGTCAGCAAACCCAGTGGCGCTGCCTTCCATCCTTCTCTCACTTGCTCCCCTTCAATGTCACTCAGTACTGCTGAGTTCTCCATTCTTCTAGAAAACACAATTCTCACCTGGTTTTCACCTCTGCCCAGCTGCTCCTTCTCAGGCTCACTGCAGCTCACCCCCTTCCACTGGCTCCTTCCCAGGCCCTCTCTTCTCCTTTCACCATGTCATTCACACTACAGTTACACACAACGCATCAATTCACATCAGCCACTCAGGTCTCTCATTTGAACCACAGACCCATGTATTCAAGTGCCAGTGTGACAGCCACCTTAGTGCCTCAAAGATGCTCCAAGCTCAGCACGTCCAAAACTGAACGCATGACCCCCAGAGCTGGTTCCCCTCCAGGGCTCAGACTCACCACAAACCAGTCACCCAGGGGCCAGCCCTGACACACCTTCTCCCCACCTTCTATACGTGACCCGTCACCAAGCCCTCGGACTTTCTCTCCTAACTATCTCTGGAATTCATGCCCACCTCTGTCACCGCACCATGAGCCATCATCACACTCACCTGGACAATGCAAAGCCCCCCAGCTGATGTCCCTGCACCATTCCTGCCTCTCTCCAGACACATGCCTCTTGGCAGCCCAAGCACCTTTTCAAAACCTAAATCTGATTATGTCATATCCCTGCTTGGAAGCCTTCAATAGCTTCCCCTCAACTGGCCTTAGGGAAAAGATCAAGTCCCACATGTGACCTCCCAGGCCCCCTTTCCTTCTTTTAATCTTGCAGGCGCATTGCTCCCTTCAAACTCAAGGGCCTCTGCACCCATGGCTCCTCTCATCTAATGTCACTTTCACCCACCACACACACACAGCCTGCTTTGTCCACCCGCATTTCAAGCTCTTATGGACCACATCCTTCTCCTCCTACCACATGTGTACTTTACATGCATTTGAATTACTATGTGGTCAACCTCTGTCTCTGTCCCTGGACTATAAGATGCAAGAGGGTAGAAACCAGGGCTGGTCTTGCTCTTTGTGTCCCAGCATCAGCGTAAGACTTTGCTTACAGTACTCAATTTTTTTTTACTTTCGTTTATTCCTATCCTTCAATCCCATCCCCTTTAACACAGGCAACTATTTTCATGGTATCTAGTCTCCAGAGCAGTTCCCAGGGCCCCCCACATCCTGGTGTTCCCACCCTGTGTAACCCCCTCCTACACTGCACCAAGGTTGGTCAGCGCGACCAGTAGTCCCTGGCAACAGTGACATCCCACAGACCATCTGGCACTTACAATCAGGTCATAAAAGATTCTGCAGGGTTGGTCTGGGTCTCTGCCTGGTGTGACTCACTCTGGGGAAAGCACGCTATAAGCAGCCCCGTGGCAAGCTCCACTTGGCAAGGAACTGAGGCCTCCTGCCAACAGCGTGGGAATAAGCTGGGCTGGGCATGGACCCTCCAGATGACATCAGCTCTGACCAGCAGCCTGACTGTAGCCTTCTGAGCAGACCTGAGCCAAACCACCCGACCAGGCTGCCCCTGGATCCTGACCCTTAGAGACAGTGTACGATCGTTAATGTTTGTTATTCTCAAGCTGGAAATTTGGGGGGAGTTTTGTATGCAGGAATAGATAACTAATACAATTTCATTCTGTTTAATGTACATCTGACTGAGTAGGTTCCTACAAAATTTGTGATTGTTTTACATGTATATATGTTTAATTTATAAAAGTGGTATTATCTTATATACCACACAGTGTTTCGCTTTTCTCATTCAGCACCATGTGTTTAAAATTGGTCCCTGTTAATATGACCAACTTCCAAGGCTGCCCAGCAGTCTGCAGCATGCACCCACTACATCTGACATCACAGTGATGGACACAGAGTGGCACCTACTCCTTGCAGCCACTGCAAACAGGCTGCGATTAACATCTTCGTGCATGTGCTCTTAAGAAGCTGTTTAAGAAATTCTTTAGTATATATGTCCAGGAGCAGAGCTGGGGGATATCAGGCATGGATATCTAATGTGCATATGCTGTACCAATCACTCTCCCACATGCAGGTGCAGTTGACTTTGGGTTTGAAGGGAGCAATGTACTGCAAGACTGAAAGAAGGACAGAGAGAGGTAGCAGGGGTCAGATGACCTGGGGCCTGGGAGGCCACATTAGGAACTCGATCTTTATCCTAAGACCCGTTGAGGGGAAGCTACTGAAGGCTTCCAAGCAAGGATGGCACAATGAGATTTAGGTTCTGAAAAGACTCTGGGAGCATCTGACCTAGCCTCTATCCCACCATAGCAGATCAGGGGCCCCATGTCCTGCAGCCCTGCCAACACTTGGCATTTTCCAGATTCCAAATTTTTCCAGTCTAACTGATATGAAGTAATACTCATTGTTTTAATTTGCATTTCTCTGAGCATAATGACTTTGAACACTTTTAATGAGGCTGCCGTTCAATCCAAATTTGTTGAATGAGCAAGAGAATCAGACCTTCCCTCTCAAGGCACAGGTAGAGCCTGTTCCTTCCAGGTTTTAACTAATACCTGGTTAAAAAAAAATCCTCCCCCAAATGCCATGTTCTATCTGCCATCTGGACATGATCCAAAGGCTTAATTTTATATTTTAAAAACAGCCTTGCAGATCAATTAAAAATCAACTCCTCGAGACAAGTGCTGGGCATAGAAGCCACAGGGCATAAATCTGCAAAGAAGTAAAAAGCTAACCTTTTCAAACAATATGGCTTCTCTCTCACTTACCAACTTTACATTTCCCTGTATGGCCCCGGAAGATGACTGGTTAGCCAGAGACGGGTAAGATTCCTCAAGGGAGGAACAACCTAAGAC